TGGCTACAATGTAGCTTGCCATCACCAGTGTGTGAACGTGTGTGTGAATGGGTGGAGGACAGGTTGTGTAAACCGCTTTAGGGTCCTTAGGGACTAAAAAAAATGCTATACAAATACAGGCCATTTACCATTCACGGAAATCTACTTGATTGAAATAAAAAGGTTTAATAATGTATGTTTAATACTGTATAATGTAAATAAAATGTATATATATATTTGCATTTATTTGTATATTTTGTAAACATTTATTTACAAAATACACACTGGAGTAATTTTGCAAAATAATTTTGATTTCTACATTATTTTGCAGTAATAAGAGTCCTTATTTGTTTTGAATCAGTTCCCTTTTACAAGCAGTGGATATGACATTTAGGAGTTTTATTATGTAAAAAAAACAAAAAAAAACAGATGTAGTTATGAAAAACAAATTAGGCCAAAGATACTTTGACACGGAGACTACAGGAGGTGGAGATTAAACCTGACAGATGACCTGCTCTACCTCCTGAACCACAGCCGCCCCTAAAGCTTGCAGTTTCCAAGAAATCTCCCATCTGCGTACTAACCAGGCCCCGACCCTGCTTAGCTTCCAAGTTCAGACGAGATCGGGCATGCACAGAACAGTCATCTTGTTCCTTGTTTATCATTTTACTGCTCAATAAGAATTCAGTAAATCTAAATTCTTGTTTATTTGTCACATTTTATTTTCTAAAGTTAGCAAGGCAAGGCAGCAAGGCAAGCCTGATCTTGTCATACACATAAAAAAAATAATATCCAGTTTCTTCACTCACATTGTGGATTACAACTTATTGGCATTTTGCTGGTAACGGATTAGTACTCCGTATTGGTATCGATACTGTATAGGAAATGAAAAGAAATGGTTGATTGTTATTGGTTTTCAGATTATCTCACACCAGAAATGGGAGCGTCGCCCAATCTGAAAAAAAGGTAATGTTTATACACCATTAGTTTTGAGGTATTCACAGGTGGGAAATAGTATCAGTCCATCCACCTGATACCAGACATCATGTGGTTTCTCTCCATTTCAGTCACTAAATTACTTTTGCATGTGCCTGAGAATACACAGCAATGCCAAAATACTGGTTCTACCAGGTTTCAGAGGTAGAGTGGTGCGAAGGAAGAAAAAACCCCAACATGCTCCCACATTTGTCATTCAGCAGACTGAAGATGCTGAAGCAAAACATGTTTAAAACATGTATAAAAATCCCTGTGGCAAAGCACAGACTGAAAACACATGAGCACGACACAGTCATTAATCGGAAGCAGGCTGTGGTGATCACTAGACCGACTTGCAGGTTTTTTCCCCTAACTGAGAAACAATTGTTTCATGACACAATGCCAGATAAATCAGTGAAACCGCTGAAGCGGAACAACTCAAAGGTTTGGGAAATTTGTGTGATTTTTAATATTTTCCTGGTACAAGAAAAAAAAGTACATAACCCACAACAATAGTGAAATAATGACACAACAAAAATGGTCTGGTCACATTGTTATTTGTAATCTCTAGTATTGGTCGAGAATTTTACAATTAAGATATCCCTAAAAGTCCAAAACGAAGTTTTTAAATTACTTTACTTTATGCCTGTTTCATCAGAACTCAATGTTCAATACCATGCACTAAAGAAAAGCAGCAAATCCTTACATGAGAACAATCAGAACCTGCTGATTTTTGCTGTTCAGGCTTGATAAATGACTAACCACAGAGCGTTGTTACAGTGATCTGACAGCCGGGAGCTCTGACCCCTTATCATAATGCAAATCACCAAATCAAACTCACCCACATGAAAAGCCTTTCAAACACCCGGTTTTTCATGCCTAACATCTGTTATAGACCGCTGACAGCTCAAAGGTGCTCATTAGCTTTGGTAAATCACCCTAAAATCGGTTTTCAATTAATTTTTGTGTGGGTTGAATCCCCTGTAGTTGTGTGATAATGTCTCTATTTACGGCTAACGTTAGCCTGAAAGCTAACACTTGTTTACAACACGACACCTTTAAAGGTAAAAACAAACTACAATACCACGCTGTTGAAGCCTATTAATGACTGCTCGTATTCTGAATGGTGATGTGAAAAGGACACAGAGGTTACTCTGAGGTTTCGGTAGATATCCGTGCGAGCTTGTACCGGGAGAGAAGCCGTTGGTCCCGTCGTGCTGATCGGGCAGCAGCGGTGACCGTTCCCCGTCTGCCATCGCTCCCTCCGGACCCAAGCCTTTCTTCCAACAACGCCCCGCGGGAAGTGTATCTGCGGCGTCTGGGAGACTCCTCGGACCTCCGGTAAAGATTTGTTTGGAGGAGTCGGTGTGAGGTTTTCAACTCCTGACCCTGCTAGAGGTTTGGGTTACTGACAGCCACATGACGCGGCGAAAGCATTCACTAAACGCGGAAACGATACAACAAAAACATCTGTCACATGATTCAAGGAGTCAGGAAGTGACGGACACGGGCTAGACCAATGAACGATCCGTGTTTGAATGGGCGGGTCCTTCTGCTTTTGTTGACTAACAACAATTATAAACTGTAAGGCAATGATTGCATTACAATTACTGCTGGTATATGTGCACATAATAGAATAGGTTAGACTTTGTCATTATAAAAATGCAATGACATTTAGTCTAGCATCTCTCCTCTACCCTATCAGAAAACAACAAATAATAATAATAATAATAATAATAATAATAATAAACAGCTAAGTTTGTGTCTCTTCTCACAGTTCAAAGACATGTATGGCAGGTTGGTTAAAGCTAACTCTCTATGACTACGGTTAGCATGGCAGCCTGTCCAGGGTGTATCCCACCTTTTAGAGCTGGCAGGTTCCAGCCCATAGTGGAAGAGGGACGGTTGGATTTATGAGATTATTTATTGTCAAAGGAGCTTGCAAAGAAAAGCGTCTGGACTTCTTTAAGTTGCTTGAAGACGTTTCACCTCTCATCCGAGAAGCTTCTTCAGTTCTAAGGTCAAATGGTGGAGAGTCCCAGATATAAACCTAGTGGGAGTGACCCCCCACAGAGGGACAAAAGGACCCCCTGATGATCCTCTAATCGCCTGAGCCAAGGTGTGAAACTGTGTGTGGGTCCCAATCAGCCAGCGTTTCGGGTGTGTTCATTGTGAAACCTGGCCCCACCTTATCATGTGAATTCCTGAGGTCAGATGGCCCAGGATGTGAGTGGGCGTTAAGGCGTCTGGGAAGGGATCTCAAAACTGGATTATAGATGGCAGAGAGTTGGTGTCGTAAACCCCCGCCTCTGTTCAAAGATGGTCGCTCACAGTGGACATAGATGGCTTTTTTCACTCCTCTTTCAAACCATCTGTCCTCTCTGTCCAAAATGTGAACATTGGCATCCTCGAAGCACTCAAAACGTGCGGCTATCCTAAATGGGCGTTCTTAAAGTCAGCAAAGAGGCACAGAAAAGAAGACCAGACACCAGCGAGGGAGGATAAGAAGGACAGACGCAACAACATTGTCATCCCCTATGTAGCCAGTGTATCAGAGAAACTCAGGAGAGTTTTCTCCAAGCATGACATCCCAGTGTATTTCAGACCCAGCAACACGCTCAGACAGAAACTGGTTCACCCAAAAGACAAAACTCCAAGACACAAACTTAACAATGTGGTGTATGCTGTACAGTGCAGCGAGGAATGCTCAGACCTCTACATTGGAGAGACCAAACAGCCACTTCACAAGCACATGGCACAACACAGAAGAGCCACCTCCACAGGACAAGACTCAGCAGTCCATCTGCATCTTAAGGATAAAGGACACTCTTTCGAGGATGCCAATGTTCACATTTTGGACAGAGAGGACAGATGGTTTGAAAGAGGAGTGAAAAAAGCCATCTATGTCCACTGTAAACGACCATCTTTGAACAGAGGCGGGGGTTTACGACACCAACTCTCGGCCATCTATAATCCAGTTTTGAGATCCCTTCCCAGACGCCTTAACGCCCACTCACATCCTGGGCCATCTGACCTCAGGAATTCGCATGATAAGGTGGGGCCAGGTTTCACAATGAACACACCCGAAACTCTGGCTGATTTGGACCCACACCCAGTTTCACACCTTGGCTCAGGCGACTAGAGGATCATCAGGGGGTCCTTTTGTCCCTCTGTGGGGGGTTACTCCCACTAGGTTTATATCTGGGACTCTCCACCATTTGACCTTAGAACTGAAGAAGCTTCTCGGATGAGAGGTGAAACGTCTTCAAGCAACTTAAAGAAGTCCAGACGCTTTTCTTTGCAAGCTCCTTTGACTACGATGACCTGGATGACTGAGAACCTTCACAGAGATTATTTATTGCATCTTCTGTAATGTGTGCAGTTCTAAAACAGTCAAATACAAGAGTCATGTGGTAAAAGCAATTAATATGTGAGCTTCTCCTTGTACAGCAGGAGCTTTAGACGCAGGGCAAGTTAGATGGTAAATGGGTCGACTGGTGCATACATAGCACCTTTTTTCTATACCCAAGCACCTCATCTAACACTCTCCACCTCAGGCTTCAGTATCTTGCCAAACTGGAGTAAGTGGGGAACCGGTCTACCAACCATACAGGTAGGCAACTCAATTTATCTACTGAGCCGCAGTCACCTCTGTGATCCAAGGGTCACCAGACTGAGCTAAGAGGCAGAAATCATAAATTTGGTCTTTATAAAAGAGTAAATAAAAAAGTGGATGTATACTCAAGAGATTACATCAGAGACTAGATTTTTTTCTAGTAACTGATTGGGATGAAACAAGAGCTAAAAAGAAGACGTGAAGTGAAAATAAAATGGTTGCATTTGATTGTGTGTTTAATGATATTAAATTCAGATGTAATACAGTATTAATACAATTAAAAGTTAAGATAAATATTTATGGCTACACAAATCCTATATACTATTTTAATAACTACTACAGTATTTAAGAATTCATTCATGTATACAATATCTTTGTGAAAAACATTTAACAATATAAGGAGCAGAATCGAATAAATGACAGAAATGTCTAAAGCTGAAAAAACAGGAAGTGTTTTATTTTCCCCAAGGTTACACAGGAAATGTGTACAGATATTTCTGTAGTGACTTGCAGGGAGAAAATGTTGCATTTAAACATCACTGATGTGCATAAAGATTTACAGGGTTACCATAACATAGTTAACAGCTTTTACATACAGCAAACCAATCATAAAAAAAAAAAAAATATAGTTATACTCTCTCTCACTGAAAGAGGAAAAAAGTATATTAGCTTTGCATAAATCTACACAACATGCTTCTCTCTAACAGCAGCAAAGTACATGAAGCTGAAAACTGACATCCTTTCTGTTTCACATGACTTAAACAAGTGGAGCACACAACTGTAAACGTGCATCCGGTTAGCTAAAGAGTGAAATGTGGGTAATCCTATCTCCCTCTTAAAAATAACCAACATTTAGTAAACAAACGTCATGTTTTTGTTAGAATTACCTGAAACAAGCAGACTTCCTACCAACTTCTATACAACTAAAACCCTTCTGCAACCAGAGGAAAGAAAGCTCTTAGTTTTTTTTCTTATAAGAATATGTTCATGAGTGCTAATTACTCACATGAAAGTTTACATTTTAAACGTGTCCACGAACTTGAGTCACTCGCCACCAAATCTCAACGACACGTGGTTTTGTTTGCACCTCTCATAAAAAAGGGAAAGAACATAAAAAAATCTAGTTATATTCATCCTTAACAGAGCCTTGAGAATTTCTGAGCGACATTCTCGAAGGCCTCCGTCGAAGATTCTGTTGATGTTTCTGGAAATAAAAGAAAGGGGAAAAAGGTGAGACCACTTGTATGTTTTTGTGCAGTCACTCGATTACAAAGCCTCAATAAGAAAGACCTTTAATCACTCATCTGCCTGCTTTCCTTAGTGTTCAGGCTCCCACTCTTTCCTTTACATCACTTCCTCTCTCTCACGCAGTAACTCAATGCTAACATCCTGGCTTCTGTCCAATCGCGTCCTTGACCACCTTCTATGAGCCAATCAGCCGCCCCTCTGCCTACTTTAAGTATCTAAATAAATCACATTCAGTTCCTTCAGATGATCTTTCCTTATTGAATTGAGTTTGTGGGTACCTTCAGGTTCTCCTGGTGTTTCTGGCTTCTGCAGTGGAGGTCCTTAGCATTTTGCTCATCCAGGTAGAAAATGGAGCAGAGGTTACAGAAAAGCCCCATTTTTTGGACAACATGCTCATCACCTAAGAAGACCAGAAGCATACAAAATAACTTAAGAGAGAAAAGAAAGACTTGAAATTGACGTCATTATTTTATGTTTCGTTCTCACCAAGGGACGCGTCAGCATCCAAGTTGTCTGTGATGCGAGGAGACTGAGAACAAGATCGCTTTGCTTTGGGTTCAATAAGTGCTCTCCTTCGTTTACGGACAGCTAAAGAAAAGGAAAACAACTAATAAATGATAAATGATGACTGAAAATTAAACTGTACCTACTCCAATAACAAGTTTATATTTTTACTTCTCTAGTTACAGCTGCTCGAATGTCTTGAATTGTCGATCAATCAAAGTTTTATTCGTCACATGCAGGTTGCCCTGCAGTGAAATAGGACCCCCCCCCGACCTTACACATATAGCACAAACATTACATGGGGATACAGGTCGGAGATTGGTAGAATCAGAGAAAAAAAAACATTGAAATGTACACTACAGTGGGGAAAGTACAAGAGGAAAAAAAGAGACCCCTACTCATGCTGTGCTTCCATGGTAGGACAGCATGAGAACAGGAAACACAAAAAACTCCTCTGCACAAAGAGCACATAAATGTCCACAGCACAACATTATGAAGACATGACAAGCTACAGGGGTGGGTGGGGAGTGAGGAGTAATCCGAAGCGAACACAGCAGCCGCCCTGCACAGCGCTACCATTCCAGCGCGGCACAGAGACCCGCCGTGTTCCCTCGCAGGAAACAAGCATCGAAGGCGTTGGAAAGGGAGGGGGATGAGTGAGTGCCTATCAGTGTAAGTGTATGTGTGTGCGTGTCCATAGTTCAGCTGAGAGTGTCCTTCGGCCTATCAGGCTAAGTAAACAGTCCTCCAGCCAATCCAGGTGTCCTTGCATGGGATGGGAAGAATAGCCGTAACACAGTCGTTATCAGGGAGCTGTTTTGGTGGGCTCCAGCCTCGGGCCTGAGCAGCTGGCGCCGTGGTGTCCAAATGTTGAATAATGTTGATTTCTCCTTTATGCGAGCAGCTCCGAATTTAGCACTCTGACACTGGTCTCTCGATCTCCCGTTGGAGAGCCGCGAGCCTCCCCATGATGGTATCAAACTTCTGTTCCGTGGTGTTGTCATTCTTTTGATTCTGAGACCCCACAACTGCAGTGAGCCGTTCTGCGATGTGTTCCAACTTTCGCTCAAGGGTGTCAATATGAGCAGGCCCCTCTCTGATGTATCCCATCATACGCTCAGTGGTGTTAGTTTGAGCCTTCACGGCAGCTGTAAGCGTCTCCAAGGTGTTAACCATACTGCGTTCGGTGTGAGAGGTCGCGCCTCGACCCATCGCTTCAATTCCAGCGGTCAGCCTTGGGGGGGTTTGAACAGCTGGTTCCGCTCTCTTATTTCTCCGATAAGTCAGGGCCAAGCCAGCTCCGATCAGCAAGAACCCTGTTATCATGGTTCCGAATAGGTAGATATCTTCAGCGTCCTCGATAGACAGTCCCGCCAGGCACAAGATCCTCCAGGTCTGCCACCCGTCCATCGTGTATCCGGCAGGGAAAGTCCCTCCAGGGCACTCAGGCTCTCCCGAGCCCAGGCTTCTCGTTGAGAAAAGGGTGTCAATAGCATTCAGAGACCAGTTGATCAAATCCATAATTCTCTTTTAGGTTTTAGAGAATGACAGTGAGAGACTGTTCGAGGGAAAAGTAATGCACACAAGACAAGACAAGGACACAAGAGGCTAAGCAGGGAAGATAAGGGTGAGGAGGAGAGGAGAAAAAGTGCGACCGCCTTCACTGAGAGCCAAGAGAAGAAGAATATGTTGTAATATGTAATATGTATATGTAATATGATTAGTGACTTTTGATGGACAAACTTTAACTTCACAAGTTCCAGATTACAAATTGTGGCTGTCTTCTGACAGAGTGTGTTAGGAAAACCACAATATAGACACTGACTTGGATGCAGTTTTGCTCTATTCTAACAAATTCTAAGTGGAAAACAACCATCATCCACTTTAGTGAATCATATTGAAACATTTTGTTGGTTTAAAATCAGCACATTTTGAGGTAAAACAGCTTCTCGTACCTTTAACGTCACTCCTGCTCGGTCCTTCCTGTGTCTGATTATCAAGACACTCAGGCTGTTGCTGTTGCCCAGCAGAGGCAGCATCAACATCGGGCTGGCTCTCTGGTTTCTCCTCTGTTTTTTGGCTGTCTGGTTTGTCGTCACTTGACAGTACAGATATGTTTTTGTCCAGTGACGAGGACTCGAGTGAAGTGGCAGACAGTGATTCTGTTTCTGCATCTTCTCTCTCGTGTGTTGCAACCCCTTTTTTCCCTCTAACAGATTTTCTCACTGCAGGAAAAGAAAAAGAAATACTTGAGATTTACAATTTAGTCCTCTGACCAGATTGTACAGTTTTGTGCACATTCTTAGTGGCAGCAGTCTTCAGGAACAGTTCTCCAGGCTTCTTGATGAACATTTAAAGCTCTTCTTCAGATCTGGACTGCCTTTAGATCAGGGGTGTCAAACATAAGGCTGAAGGCCCAGAATCTTTTTTTTTTTAAATAAAACTGTGACTTGTATTATGTGTCTGTGGTCTGGGAGAGAGTCCTGTAACTGTCTCCCTGCAAAATACAGTATATAATGACCAATGTTGGGCAATTAATTATACAGTTACTTCTTCAAAAAAGTTACTGAGTTTTGCAAACAACAATGTTTTTTGCAGCTGTTTACCTAAAAATGCAGCCAATGCGGTTTTTTAAACAAACCTTTCAAACAATTTACAGAACAATCAGCTGTTCTGCATCTAATTTAATGCCACACAAATTATTTGTGCCACTCCAAAAAATAATTTCTGTCCACTATGAGATAAAGGAGAACAAGCCTGATACCTGCAGGCCTGGCAACAGGAGATGTATCACTCCTGTAACATCGCATTGTTCTGACACACACAACAAAACTTTTGACTACACTACACACTAACTACACAAGATTTGCGCTAAACGCTGCAAATCTCTCACATCTCACAACACCGCCATCACTCCTAAAACTTCCTCCCATTTCTTAACAACTAAATGCCATGTTTTGATTGGTCGACATGGTACATTTTTCGACCAATGGGAAAGGGTGGGGTGTTTTGGTTTTGTTTTAGCTCACAGGCTTTCGAGCGTTTTCCTTATAAAACGCAGTTTTTACCGTTTCTTCCCGCAGTAAATCTAAACAACGGTAGTATTCAGGAAGAAAACCAAACATTGCAGATTTTTTTTTATCATAACTCTGGTTTTACGTGGCCTATCAACACAATTTAAAAACTGTCCACACTTTTTCCGTCAATTGTTCCATCTCTCCTGCTCACATCTCCAATGTTTGTACACGTTGTCATTAACGTGGCTTCACTCCACATCAGCCACGCCGCTTTGCTAGCTAAAACACCGGTGTCGGCACATATTTACTTTAATTTCAATTCAGGTTAGAATTTTTTTTGTGTGTGCGCAACGCAGATTTTCTCTGCGCAGAGACACGTGCGCAGCTTAGAGGGAACATTGCTTTTAACTGTATTTAAATAGGTTTCACAGAGTCTCCTGCTGATAAAGACTCCCTCACAGTCATTCATACTACACAAAAGTAATTAACTAAGAGATAAATAATTAAATGACAGAAAAGTCTTGTAAAAGCTAAGATATCCACCGTCACTCTGTAGGAGCTTCTGACTCTGAAGTAGACTTCCTGTTTCCCCCACTGTGTTCCTGTCAGTTATTTTCAGGTTTTACTCTTCCCTCTATAACTGACGTATCTAATCATATTTAACTAACACAGTGGGAAGAGGGTCAAGTTGACAGGTGGATAATTTAGATTTTTTTTTTTTTTAAAGCCTGTCTTCCCTCGTTAGCTCCTCTCATAACCAGTATTATCCGTTCCTCCCTTAAAATTGGAATGGTCCCTTCATGTCAGAAAAAGGCTTCTGTTATTCCAACTCTCAAAAAGCCTGGTGCAGACCCCAAAAACTTTGATAGTCTTCGCCCTATATCAAATCTCCCCTTTATTTCAAAAATTCTTGAAAAAGTTGTCGCCTCCCAGCTTCACTTACATTTCAATGACCATAATCTCTATGAACAATTTCAATCTGGTTTCCACCCCAATCATAGCACAGAAACTGCTTTGTTAAGGTCAACCAATGACCTTCTGATGGCAGCTGATTCTGGTCTACCATCCATCCTCATTCTTCTTGATCTTAGTATGATACCATTTCTCACAATATCCCCCTGAACCGGTTAGCATCCATTGTCATTCGTCATACCCATTTGCTTGGTTTGCCTCATATCTTTCAGACCGCACTCAGTTATATCCAATTTAAATCCCACTCTTCAAGTCTCTATCCTGTTTCTGCTGGTGTGCCCCAGGGTTTAGTATTAGAGCCTCTTTTATTCATTATTTACATGCTCCCTCCTGATCATATATTGCGAAAATATAATATAAATTACATATAAATATAAACAGAGCTTTCAGTCGCTCTGCTCCACGGCTCTGGAACTCTCTTCATCAAGCCATAAGAAATATAGACTCTCCTCCCGTATTTAAGTCACAGCTCAAAACACATCTGTTCAAACTGGCTTATTCGCTTTAGTAGTGATTTTATCTGTTGTCAAGTTCTGTTTTGCAATTTTAACTTATTTTATGTATTTTATGACTATTGCTCCTTTTAATTTTGTTCTTTTGTAAGGCGCCCTCAAATAAAATGCAGTATTATTATTATTAATACAAGGTCCAGTTTTTCCAAAGACTACAATAGAAATGTTATCCACGGTACATTTTCTGTGAATTACACATCTATCATGTAGTTTCATGGGTCCAGCCCACTTAACATCAAAGTGAGCTGTATGTGCCCCATGATGAAAAAGGAGTTTGACACCCACGCTTTAGATGATCCCACATTCCATTAAAGCTTGAGTTCTGGTGAAGCCAATCCGTGACTGATAGTGTTCCACCATGTGTTTTTCTACCCAGGTATGATTTTACTGCCGTGTGTCTGTAACCATTGTCATGCTGTCGTGAAGCTGTTTCCAATTTGTTGATTGACAGCACTACATGGCATTAGATTACAACTGGCTCATCACATGACTAAGGTTCCTTTTTTTGTCCTTGAATGATTCATAAGTCAGTGTTAAGTGGCTTAACAAACAAACAACAACAAAAACATTCCTCTGAAAATGCTCAGGTATAAAGACTGGACTGAAAATCAGTGAATAAAAGCAGCTGAAGTCAAAAGAAAAACTTTGAAAGACTAGGGAACATTTCCTCAAGATTATTTAACAAAGTAACAAAGTATGAAGAAATGAGAAGTGGCTCAATATTTCTGCACAATTATGTAAACCAGAAAGCTGTGCTTGTGTTACCAGGGATCTGTCTAGTCCTCTTCCTGGCTTGGCCACTTGTCCTGGTTCTAATGGCTTTCTTGTCCTTGTCTTCATCTCTTTTCAAGTTCACATTCTCCTCTAATATGAGATACAAAAACAAAGACTCACATTAATGCAAAACAGTTTGCCATTTTCTTTCTTAGTAAATTTAGGAGTAAACTTTACAAGATTCACACAACAGACTAGTACACAATGCTTTCCATTTAAAAAAAAAAATCTATAGTGATAATAATCTGCCAATCAAAACACACCAAAATCAAACTGTCTTGGCTAACAAAGCATGTAACGGGTGATAGATTTGTCTTTAATAGTGTGTCTTACCTTTAATTTTAAATTTCTGTTAGGCTGTAAGCAGATGTCAGTTTATTTGCACCTTAAAATAATTAGTAATTTAGCTTTTATGGTTAGAGTTCCATTATACTGGAAACCTTTAGCTGTTAACACAATCCATTTCACCTGGTTTATGTCTTATCTGCTTTAAGATGTGCTGCTCCTTCTATCAATGAAGGCACCACTGTTTATGCCTGCTTATCATACCTACCATGTACAAACAGTCATGTGAAACGAAGTTTACACGAGACTTTGTGCTGTCCTTTGAAAAACTATGGTAAATGGCCTGTATTTGTATAGCACTTAGTCCCCAAGGACCCCAAAGCGCATTACACTACATTCAGTCATCCACTCATTCACACACACTGGTGATGGCCAGCTACATTGTAGCCACAGCTGCCCTGGGGTGCACTGACAGAGGCAAGTCTGCAGAACACTGGCACCACCGGGCCCTCTGACAACCACCAGTAGGCAACAGGTGAAGTCTGTCGGAGCCGGGGCTCGAACCCGGCAACCTTACACAATCAAACCGCCAACTGCCACGATCACCCTATGTACAGTCCATGTTTCAATCGCTTCTATAACCAGCTTTAGCTAAACTGAAGGAATCATTTTCTTTGTGACTTCATCAGTCTCTCACATCGTTGTGGGAAAAATTTGGCCCACACCTCTGTTGCTTCAGTTTATTGAGGTTGGGGATACACATTTACGCACAGCATTCTTAAGGTCCCAAACCAGCATTCCAATCAGGTTGAGGTCTCGACAGGACTGGGCAATTTCAACACCTTGATTCTTTTCTTTGTCAGACATACAGAGGAGTTCATGGTTGACTCTGGGAATGCAATGTGCCCAAGGTTTATAAAAGAAACCCAAAGGTGTTTAAAGGACATTATTCCACAGGTTTGTATGGCTTCTTCAGATGTAACTTGACCATGCACCAGAGCAGCAAACTAAACTTTAGTAAAGGAGGTCACGCCTGCTGATGATTAATTAATCAACTGACTCTAATTAGAAACCTGTTGCCTGCTGCTAATTTATGACATTTTTTATGGAAGCAGTAAGAAGACTAACACAAACCTGCATTGTCATCACGTTCGCGTTTATTAGATCTTGAGATTTTCTGAGCCTCCTTTTTGACACCCTTCTCATTCTCATCATGCACTGCTTCATTCACATTTGACAAAGTCTAAAAAGAGAAAACCAAAATGTTTGGCATCAAGATTTATGTTATCAGAACAAAGATTTCTCGAAGAAAGAAAAATGTTTGCAACAGTTTAAATGCTAACATTACCTCTTGGTTTAAGGACTTCACTGACTGGCTATCTGGGTTGAGTTGGCAGACCTCATGTCCCTCCTCCTCTTCTTCACCAATCTCATCCAATGTGACAAACTCCTGCAGCTCATCCTCCGTAATCTCCCTATTCCACTCTTCTCCCTCCAAAAAACCTTTGTCTCCACCCTCATCTGCCCCCACCTCATCCAGAGTCACTAGCTCAGATGTGTCATCCAAAAAAGTTTTCTCAATATATTTCCTTGGTCTTTCCAACGTTGTGTTTTCTGAAGTTTCAGGTCGATTATTCCTATCATCATCTTCCACAGGGTGTATTTCATAGGTAGAGTCTTCCCTTAAGTCTTTTATCAAGGCATCACTCTTTGTTGTTGGTGTCTTCTCGGTCGGTGGCGTTGTCTCCTCATTTTCTGTATTTTTCTCAGGATCCTGTTTCTGGGAATGTACAGCCCATGTGGTTCTCCTTCTTGCTGTAGTCTTGTCTTTTGTTGGGACTTCTTTAGCCGTTCTTTCCTTTCTCCCACTGGTAGATTGTTCTGTAATGGCTGAATTGCTGTTGTCAGTCTCTACCGCTTCTGGCTTTTTAGATTGTTCTGTGTATGTCAGTTTGTCCTTTTTGTATCCTCTAGCAGACCTTCTACTATCAGACCTTTCTGCAGTAAAAGCATCTTGAATTGGTTCATCTTTATCAAAGTTTACTTTCCCATGAATGATCTTTTCAGTGTCCTTGAGAATATTTCTGTCTTTTTCTGTATTGCTTTTCTTTGTCTCATATTTTTTCTCCATCTTGTCCTCTTTTATTGGTAATTTCCCCTCCTCTTCACTTTTAGATGTTCTGGACCTTGATCCAGTCCTCCTTGTTGGTCTATCATCTCTTTTAGGTTCATTGGATTTATCTGTTCTTTTTTCCTTGTTGTCTGCCTCCAATTTGGTCTCTGTGGTTGCTGGCTCATCTTCCACAGAATCAATTACCTGGTAAGCTTCTTCCTCTTCTTCTGTGGCTTCTTTAGATACTTGGGTGCCGAGGGTTTCAAATTTTTGGTTATCATCTTCTATTTCAGTCAGATCATCAACTGAATCCAGTATCTCAAATGCTTCAGTAGCATCTGTTGAAGTTTTTTGGATGTCTTGACATTCAATGTACTGTTTTATTTCATTTCGGATTGTGGATTTTATATCGTCTAAAATCTGATAACCTTCCCCATGCAATGTGTGGCTTTGTTTAGGTCCTGAATACTTGGTTTTAGCACAGCCATCTTGATTTCCATCGTCATCCAGCTGTTCTTCTGTTTGATCATCAACTGAATCAATGACTTGGTAAGTTTCACCATCTTCCTCCTCCTCCTCAATACATTTTCCGACATAATCCCCTGCCGCAATGCCCTCTCCTGACACGCTGTGGTCAGACTTTGCTGTTGCACACTCTGTGTTTTTTTTCTTTGATTCATTAGAATATTGAATCTTTACAGATGCCTCAATATCTGATGTTGATGCCATCTCTGACAAATGGGTCTTGTGGCCTGAGGATACAGTGTGTGGTCTTCTGGCTGAGGATTCTGTCTTGTGTGGCTGTGCTCTGCGAAAAGGCGATGCATGAATTTCGACAGGCAGCGAAGAAGAGAATAAAGGGGTCTTAGTGGCCTGAGCAGATTGCATAGATGTGGTATTGAATTTGGTTGGTTCAGATGAGCCTTTTTGTTTTTTTGGTGAGTCAGTGGTCAAGCCTAAAGACAGGGTGCTTTTCTCTGAAGCTTCAGTGGGCTTGGATTCAGAAGATAAAGCAGCTGAGTTCTTAGACTGTTTCAAGGATCTTGTTGAGATCTTCTTGGCAGAAGATGAAACATCTGAGTTTTGTCTTTTTCTTTTCTTTCTGGAGATCTGCTCAGATGAGAAGGTGCCTTGGTTGTCATCCACATCCTCAACAATTTCATCAACAGTGACAAAACTCTCAAAATTCTGCTCATCAAAAAGCTGAGCGTCTGAAGAAATAGAATAATCATTATAACTATCAGTTGAATCCAGTATCTCAAAGGTTTGTTGTTCAGTACCCTCTTTTACAGTGTTGTCTCCCTCTTCAAGAGGCTGTTTTTTACCTTCTGCAATTAAGCCAGCATCTTTGGAGGCTTTGGATGATTCCTTCAAAAGCGTTATTTCATCTTTCCCCTTGATTCCATCTCCCCTGCTCTCTGCTTCATTTTTGTCACAAATGTCCACTACCAGAATCAAATCTTCAGACAGCTGCTTTACTGTAAAACTTTCATTTTTGGCCAAAGGATTGGACTCTTGAACTGTAGTTATTTGGTGTCTGATATCATTGTCTAGCACTTTGCGAGAAGCATCCAATTCAATTTCACTGCACTCTTTTAAACATGCGTCATCACCATTAACACTGTCCAAGACCTGAAAGCCTCCTTCATGTAATTCTTGGCCTTGCTCAGGTCCAGGTGTCTGACTTATCTCCGACTCAATAGTTTCCCCAGCAATGCCTTTTATTGAAACTTTGTGGTTTGAGATCGTTTTGACATTAGAAGACAACCTGCTTTTCAAAGTGGATTTCCTTGTCTTAGATGAGGAAGGTGACAAAGAAATCTTGAAGCCTTTCAAGGATTTTAATGAGGTTTGTTCGGCAGAGGATAACACATCTGTGCTTTGGTCCTCCCCCGAGTCATCGAAAATCTCATCAACAGTGACAAAATTCTCCAAGTTAAAATTTTGCTCATCAAAAAGGGTGGTATCTGAAAAGACTTGGTCATCGATGCGATCATTAGCCGAGTCCAGTGCCTCAAAGCCTTCTTCTTCAGTACTATCTGGTGAAGCTTCTTTGATGCTTTGATGTTTAACATTTGTCATTTGGCCAGAGTCTTTGCAGGTTTCTCCTGAAAGCATCTGTTGTTCTTTTTCTTTCCCCCACCTTCCATCGCCCCTGCTCCTTGAAGCTTGATTCTTACTTTTGTCCAGCACTTCGTTTCTCTCAGCCAAATCTTCAGCAACAGATTTATCAGAATTATCTACTTGAATCACATGCTCCTCGGACAGCTGCATCAATGTGGAACCTTCATCTTTAACTGTTTGAGTGGCCTCTTGGACTGTTGCTGTTCGATCTTCAGTTACACCGTCTAGTGCTTTGAAAGGCACATCTATTTCCATTTCACCAAACTCCTCAGGACTTTCATCTTCAATACTGTCCAAGACCTTATAGCCACCTCCAAAGAATTTCTGGCCTTGCTCAAGAGCAGATGACTGGCTTGACTTTGACTCAACAATTTTCAAAGCAATGCCATTGGCTGAAAGTTTGTGGTCAGATGTTACCACTAAACTCTCTGTTGGTTTTGCTTGTTCTTCATTTGGCTGACAAGTCTCAACTCCACTTAGAGCTGCTTTTGATGCACAGGTCCTAAAACCTGAATACAAAACTTGCAATGCTCTGGCTGGAGATTTTGGGTTACTTGATGCTGCTTTTTCCACAGAGGAGGCAGGAGTTTCCATAGCCATACATAAACTGCTCCTCGCAGTGGCTTTCATTGACTTGGATAAGGAATGTGAGAAAGAAGAATAAGTTGCTGAGCTCTTGGAGTCTTTCAGGGATCTTGTAGAAGTCTGCTTTACAGGAGATGAAACATTTGAACCTTGCCTTTCACTTTTCATTCTAGAGTTCTGTTTAGATGAAGCCGTGCTTGGGTGGTCTAAGGCCATATCTTCCACATCATCAACAATTTCATCAACAATTTCATCAACAGTGACAAAGTCCTCCAAGTTGAAATTTGGCTCATCAAAAAGATTGGTGTTTGATGAAGCATGGTCATCAGTATGATCATCAGTTGAATCTAATATCTCAAAGGTTTCATGATCAGTACTATCTGATGAATTGTCTTTCATGTCTCTGTTGTCAGCATCTTTGGACGCTTTGCAGGATTCTTCTGAAAACATTTCTTCCTTTTCTTTTCTTCTTCTATCTTCTGTTTGGCCTCTCGGGTTTTGGTTGCTACTTGTAATTGACATTTCAATTTTATCAGCTGCATCTAGAACTGTAGATTTATCAGAATTTTCCATTATCTGAATCTTGTTTTCCTCAACCTCTCTTTTCTCTGCTGAGTCTTCATTTTCAACCAGACGATCATCCTCTTGATTGGTAGCTACTTGGTGTTTAGAAACCCCATGTAATAGTTGGACAGAAGCATCCAATCCAATTTCACTCCATTCCTTTGAACAGGTTTTGACTGCATCTGTATCGCTCTCCATGACTTGACTGTCCAACTTATGCAGTCTATGGCCTTTCTCAGGTCCAGGTGACTGCCTTGACTCTGACTCAACAGAACTTGTTTCTTTGTGCAGCTTATATGTGTCAACCGATGTCTCAGCTTCTGCTGCTGATGCCATCTTTAATGAATGCGCCCTGCAATCTGAGGATGAAGTATGCAGTGCTCTGGCTGGGGACTTTAAGTTGCTTGGGTGTGTTTTCCTACAAGTTTCAAAAGACTGAGAAGATGAGGAGGTAGAGGTCTTAAAGACATTAGAAGACAAATTTCCTTTCACTGTGATGTGAGTTGGCACGGGTGAGGAAGAAGAGGAGGCAATGTGAGAGCTCTGCCTTTCTCTTTTCCTTTCAGAGTTCTGCTTATGAGAAGAGCGGCTTTGGTGGCTGAAGGCTGCTTCTCCCGTGTTGTCACCAATTTCATCAACAGTGACAAAGTCCTCTAAACTGAAATTTAGCTCATCAAAAATATGTGTTTCTGAAGAAACATGGTCATCAGTGTCATCATCAATTGAATCCAATATCTCAAAGGTTTCTTGTTTAGCACAATCTGCATCGCATGACATGTCTTTGTTGACTTGTTCTTCAACATTTAGGATTTGGCCCAAATTTTCGAGGGCTTTAAAAGACCTCTGCATTTCTCCTTGTGTTTGTATGGTTGTTCGAGCTCCCTTGATCCTTGGACTTTGGTTCGTTCTTGAATCTAACACATCCTTATCAGTGGCATCTTCTTGAGAGTCCTCTTTAACTACAGATGCTTGGTCCTCGGTAACACTATCCATCACCTGGTAAGAGTCTCCTTGCTCTTGTACACATCCAGATAAATTGGTTTCAGTGCCATCTTGGCTTCCGTCTTCATTCATCTGTTCATCCAATTGATCCTCAATCGAGTCCAGGATTTGGTAATCTTCAAAGTCCTCCTCCTCAGGATACTTGCCAGAATAATAATTTCTGCATTCTTCTTCCGTCCTCTCCTTCGACTCTTTTAGTATGCCATTGTTAAAATCAATTTCTAGATTCGGTTTTTGGCTTGTCAACTCTAACCCCTGACTGTGTGCAGCTGAATGTATAGCTAATGATGTTTCTGTTCTATTTGTTTCTGTAGTAATGCCCTCTGCTAACACTTTACCCGACTTCCCTACTGCACTTTCTTTGGGTTTTGCTTCTTCGTCTCTATGAAGCTGATATGTCTCTACTGTCACATCTGCTGCTGCTGCTGTTGATGAAGAAGGCTTACAGCTAATGGATGGAGAATGTAAGGCTATCTCTGGAGACTCTGGATTTTCTGGCTGTGCTGTTTGGCAAGGGAAGGGAGGAGTTTCAATAGATTGTAGAGAAGAAGAGACAGAGGTCTGGCTGACACTAGGAGATGAGCTGCTCGTCGAGTCGTTCAAGGGCCTTGTTGAGATCTGTTTTGTAGTGGTCGACACAACCAGGCTTTGGTTTTCTATTTCCACTCCGCAGGTCTGCTTAACCAGTTAAAGAGATGAGTTATTTTCAATTACATAACTGAGCTATTTAAAAAAAAAAAAAAAAAAAAAAAAAAAAAACGAATAAAAGGGACCACAGAAGACTGTCACTAATAAACTCTAAGATATATTATCATATCTAGGGATGGGTATGGTTTAGGTTTTATCCGATACCAGTACCAAACCGGTACTTTTGAAATGGTGCCAGTGCTTAAACGGTGCTCGAACCGGTGCTTAAAGAATGGAGAACACAAAATTGGTCCAAAAACCTCTCATGTTCAGCTGTTTTTTGTAAAAAGATAACAATGCCTTTTCAGCAGCTATAGGGGATTTATGGCATCACTCTTGGCTGGAAGCAGTGCTTAAACAATGGAAAAAACAAACTTTGTCCAAAAACCTCTCATGTTCAGCTGTTTTCCACTTTTTCTTTGGTCATTTTAGCCTTTTTGGCCAGGGTGAAGGGAGTATCTGCCATCAAACAAGAAGACAGCCGCATGTAGCTATGATGATGTTTGCTAGTTCACCTTACATGCATTAATGTAATAATGTGGTTAGCCTACTCAACGTAAATTACACACGAACTACATTAAGCTACTCACGCAGGGAAGAACTGCTGTGTCTGCCATCATCATCCGTCATCATTTCTGCTACACTAGCAGGGCTAGAGGGCAGGACTCTAATCTTCGGGTTTTTGGGGGATGTTGCTAACCCCGGGTCCGATAACAGGCACCACACCCGCAGTAGATGTGCACGGTCTCGCGGCAAGCTATCAAATACGGCGCATTTCTCGGCTTTTAACAAAATGCTATACGTCGCCATGTGTTTCATCAGATTTGAGGAGTTACCTCCGTTGCACAGTATCACCTTAAAGCACTTGTTGCAGGCTGCTGAGTTTACATCTTTTGCTGTGAAGTACAGCCAGACTTTGACCGCTTCGCTTTGGGCATTTTTAATCTTTAGCTCTGCTCTAAAAGAACGTACGTACCTGGGCCCGCCTACTACGCTCGCAAAGGTAAAATGATTGGCTGGAATCCAAGGTGTATGACATCTCAGGAAAAGAAAAAAGCACCGCAATGTGCGCTGCTTTTCGGTCTGGTTACTACCGGTGCCATTACCGGTACCCATCCCTAATCATATCATAGTTTAGTGGGTTTGATTCTATATACACTGTATGTTTATGCATATATGCAGACCAAATTTGAAGGTAGAAGTAAGGAACTCACCTTTTCTTCCATTTTCTCTTTACCCAAGTCACTTCTAGAGGTTGTTTCTCTCTTGCTGGGGCTCTAAAAAGATAAAGATTGCTTACTACTTTACTTCACAAAAATATGGCAGGTCATAGTTAGAACATTTTTGGCACTTTGCAAATACACTTCTTGCCAGATATTACCATTTTATCCACAGTCTGTGTCTTGGTTCCCTGAATCAATATGGGCTCGTCAGCATTAATATAAGGAAGTTCTTTGATCATTTCCTTAGACTTTGTCAGACTTCTGACTTGAGGAGCAGGGGTAGAAGCAGCTGAAAAAGTTCTTCCATCAGCAGAGGTGACTGAAATTACTGGTGACCCTTCTTCCCCTACCCTCCCTTCTGCCTTCTCTACATCCTGACTCGCCTGAAGAGCAACGGTGGATGTTATAATCTCAGTTCCTGGTTTATCACTGGCTTCTTCCATTTCTTGGTCACTTGTTGCACTTTGTCCTGCTGTGAGAGACTTAGAAATGTTCGAACTAACTGATACTGCTGGTTGAGCAGAACCAGAGGTACTTGTTTGCTGAAGAGTTTGCTCCCCTTTATCAGAAAGAGAAGACTGTGCTCCACTTATCACAGTCGGGAACTTAACATCTGTGGTGTCCAGTTCAAGATTTACTTTAATCTCACTGGAGTCTTGCAGACGCTGTTTTAGGCTCTTCAAACTAAAATCAAAAGCAGAAAATCTTTGTTAGTTGTCCACAAAAAACAAGTTTGTTTTCACAAAAATGGTTACACATAACATGTTACAAAACAGAGAAAGAAACAAATATCATTTCCAATTTTTTGTTCAGCAGTTATTAGCTTAAGACACATTTACATAAACTGCCTGTTTTGTTTCTCCACATCTTTTAGAGCCAGTTCATTATAAAAATTAGAGAAAAAACAAAAAACAACGCACCCCCCCCAAAAAAACCCAACAGGAAACCATACTTTGGCAAAATAATATGAGCCTATTATTTTTTCGTCAAACCAAAAATCCGAAAACCCAAAATGTTTAGTATTAGAACTGTTTTAACTTCTACAGGAGAAGCTGCACCCAGATTCAGGAATTGTCATATTAGAAAGAGAAATACTCACGTTTCAATGCGACGAACTTTTTTCCTGTATAGAGGATAAAAAAAGGAGACGGTCTAAGGGTCTATTTTCATAACAAATAAATACGTAATTTATTCTAATAATTTATTCATCTCTTCCCCTATTTTAGTGAAAGTCATACCAAATTACATTCGTAGATAAATGTTCATTTGAAGCAATCTTCTCCAACACCTCTGTTACAAGACTAGATTCTGCCATCTCAATGTAAATCTGAGAATAGAAATAGTCATAAGAAAAGCCCAAAGACAAAAAGGAAAAAGTTTCTTAAAAAGTGATAATAGACATTAACAATTCTTATTTTTTTAAACTCGTTCATGCTTTAGTTTACCCAAGCAAAGGTGCAGTATGAACTACAATATGACTGAACATGAAACGCATACATAGATGGGAACATAGATGCAAAATTTATGCTATAGCGATCCTGACTGAAATACAGTGGGATGCAAAAGTTTGGACAACCTTGTTAATAGTCATTATTTTCCTGTATAAATCGTTGGTTGTTACAATAAAAAATGTCAGTTAAATATATCATATAGGAGACACACACAGTGATATTTAGGAAGTGAAATGAAGTTTATTGGATTTACAGAAAGTGTGCAATAATTGTTTAAACAAAATCAGGCAGGAGCATAAATTTGGACACTGTTGTCATTTTATTGATTCCAAAACCTTTAGAACTAATTATTGGAACTCAAATTGGCTTGGTAAGCTCAGTGACCCCTGACCAAAATACACAGGTGAATCCAATAATAAGAAAGAGTATTTAAGGGGGTCAATTGTAAGTTTCCCTCTTTTAATTTTCTCTGATGAGTAGCAACATGGGGGTCTAAAAACAACTCTCAAATGACCTGAAGACAAAGATTGTTCACCATCATGGTTTAAGGGAAGGATACAAAAATGTCTCAGAGATTTAAGCCGTCTGTTTCCACTGTTAGGAACATATTGAGAAAATGGACGACCACAGGCTCAGTTCAAGTTAAGGCTCGAAGTGGCAGACCAAAAAAAAAATCTCAGATAGACAGAAGCGACGAACAGTGAGAACAGTCAGAGTCAAACCACAGACCAGCACTAAAGACCTACAACATCAACTTGCAGCAGATGGAGTCACTGTGCATCGTTCAACCATTCAGCACACTTTACACAAGGAGATGCTGTATGCGAGAGTGATGCAGAGGAAGTCTTTTCTCTGCCCACAGCACAAACAGAGCCGCTTGAGGTATGCTAAAGCACATTTGGAATAAGGTGTTGTGGACTGATGAAGCTAAAATTGAGTTATTAGGGCATAACAAGGTGCGTTATGCATGGAGGAAAAAGAACACAGCATTCCAAGAAAAACACCTGCTACCTACAGTAAAATATGGTGGTGGCTCCATCATGCTGTGGGGCTGTGTGGCCAGTGCAGGGACTGGGAATCTTGTGAAAGTTGAGGGACACATGGATTCCACTCAGTATCAGCAGATTCTGGAGACCAATGTCCAGGAATCCGTGGCAAAGCTGAAGCTGCGCCAGGGCTGGATTTTTCAACAAGAAACACTACTCAAAACCCACAAAGGCATTCATGCAGAGGAACAAGTACAATGTTCTGGAACGGCCATCTCAGTCCCCAGACCTGAATATTACTGAAAATCTGTCTTGAGTTAAAGAGAGCTGTCCATGCTCAGAAGCCATCAAACCTGAATGAACTAGAGATGTTTTGTAAAGAGGAATGGTCCAAAATACCTTCAACCACACATTGGAACCTACAGGAAGCGTTTAGAGGCTGTAATTTCTGCAAAAGGCGGATCTACTAAATATTGATTTCATTTCTTATTTTGTGGTGCCCAAATTTATGCACCTGCCCGATTTAGTTTAAACAATTTTTGCACGCTTTCTGTAAATACAATAAACTTCATTTCACTTCTCAAATATCACTGTGTGTGTCTTCTATATGATATATTTAACTGACATTTTTTATTGTAACAATCAACGATTTATACAGGAAAATAATGACTATTAACAAGGTTGCCCAAACTTTTGCATCCCACTGTAAGTAAAACCGTTAATGCAGTCATGCAACTGAAAACACAGGGAGGAGGGGGGGGTGTAGGTGTGTGTCGTACCCTGTTAGCAAGTGGCAAGAATCTGACAAAAGAACCACTGAATACCACCACTTGCATGACCATCATGATGAGGTCCACAGATGTCTCAGAGATCTCCACACAGATCAGCCGCTCCTCCAGAGGCTCTGAATCTGGAACATGCTGAAAAACAATGAAAAGCTGCTGTTAAGGAGCAGGAAATAGAAAAACTTTTTTTGGATGACTACAGATATAATTAAGTGATAGCTTACTTACAATATTGCTCCATTTCATCAGATTTCTGTACATGACCTCCTACAAAAAGATGTTAAAAGATATTGTCACACACATTGCTATTCTGTAAATTCAATTATCCAACTCATAAACTGTATGCAGTAAACAGCATACAGTTTTAGAAAATGTATAAATTATGTAACTATATCAAACATTTTGAAAAATTATCCAACCAAAATTGTAAAACACATCCCTATCCCAAAGGTATAATTAAATTTTATTTATATAGTGCCAAATCACAACAGCTGCCTCAAGGTGCTGTAAGGTACATTGCATTACATTTTAAGGTATTTTTTAAGTCATAAATCAAAACATAACATCAAACAGCTTCACAATAGTACCGCAATGTGGGTAAAATTCGGGGCAGAGCATAACGAGTAAATGCACCGGATGAAAGTCAAACTAATTTGCGTCAAACGCCAAATTGAACAAGTGGGTTTTAGGTGCGATTTAAACAATTGAATAGACTCAGACGTAAGGACATCAACTGGGAGATTGTTCCAGAGTCCCCTTTGGGTGGAGCAATGTTTGGCACAGTGTGTTTTGGGGTTTAAAAGCCACAGAAACACGGTATCAAGAAAAAAAAAAAGTGTCTCAACTGTTCCGATACTCCTGACACACACCAGATCAACTAAAGGTTTTCGCTTAGGCAGCGGTTGTCCTTCTCTCCTGGATTGGCTGGAGCTTCCGAGCTTTGACAAAAGTCCAGATAGGATAACCACATTTACTCAGGGCCTTCTTAATGTGATGTTCTTCTGCTTTCCTGGCTGCTTTGTCTGTGGGGATGGTGTTCGCTCTGTGTTGTAGCGTCCCAATGACACCTAATTAATCCTTGGTCCACCCCAAGGATCAGGTCCCCCGACACAAACAGAGTAACATAGTGTACGCTGTCAAGTGCCAGGAGGAGTGCCAGGATTTATAAATCGGGGAAACCATACAACCTCTGGCAAAGCGGATGACACCACACAGAAGAGCTACCTCTTCTGTGTGGTGTCATCTGCAGTTTATTTACACCTATAGGCCAGTGGACACTCTTTCAATGACGAGGATGTACACATCCTGGACAGGGAGGAACGCTGGTTTGAGCGCGGAGTCAAGGAGGCCATTTACATGAAAAGGGAAAGACCATCTCTGAATCGAGGAGGGGGCCTAAGGGTACATCTTTCGCCATCTTACAATGCTGTGATTGCAGCTACTCCCCAACTCTCTGTGAATGGTACTCATGGCCATTGATCAGTGGGCTTTGATCAGTGGTTGTTGATCAATGGTCATGAGAATTTGCATAATAATGATGAAGGAACCATTGTTCCTTCAGTGTATGGAACGCCAGGACTGCCATAATGAATTAATTAAATACACCATTAAATGATTAATTAAATGTGACAATAATTAATTAAAATTGGAATTAATTAAATAAATAGTTATGACACATTTAATTAAATTATTGACACATTTAATTAATTATTTATGTAGTTCACATTTTAATTAATTATTGACACATTTAATTATTTAATGATATATTTATTTATTTCATTTTGGCAGTCCTGGCGCCTGGCTCTCATCTTGAAATAATTTTATCTGTCAGCCTCACCCATCAAACTCAGGGGGCGGGGTTAACGCTGCCCATGCAGCTTCTCTAACATTTGATTGGTTGCCGTGCAAAGTAAGTCAAAACAGGTCGATCCTAGATAATCGATTGCTTGTGTAGACTTGGGGCAGCCAGTTATCCCAGAATGCAGATCAAATCACAAGCAGCAATGGTGGTGGTGTAGTTTTAAAATACCCCGTTCTTCTGTCACCAGCTACACTTTTAACAGTGTTTTAGCCGCGAATGTCAGGTTGTCAACATAGAACATGTTTGCAAAAGTGCTCAGATGTTTTCAGAGATTTCACTAGCTCTGCTAACAATTAGCATGCAGAGTGCACCCAGGGGTTACGTTAACCGGTTTGTTTACATATTCCACTCTCCGTGTTCCACATGTTGCATTCGCAGATTCTCATTTTCACCGAACGATCGTCTCTTTCCGCCTGGTCTTGTGTCTCTGTGCTTCTGTAACATAAAGAACGAGCTGACATTTTTCTCACGAAACCAGCGACCAGCTCAACAGACCCTCAGTTTACCTGCATGCATCCTCCTCCTCATCTGTCAGCTGTTTAACACTTGCTGCTAATTCAAGAAACACGCCTAGTTACCTGGTGATAGTCACAGTTTAACTGGGCAGCCGGTGCTCGATATAAAGCAATGTCAGCGCATTTTTCTGCACAAGATAAGTAAATATAGTGTTTTCCCCGAGCGCAGAGCTGCTGGAGCTTGTTTCCTTACAGAGCACTTTATAGGCGAACCAGCGTCAGCGGCTGATGTCCAATCACCGGCACACAGCTTTCAAACCTCAGCTGAGTTTTAGCTCTCAGTGGTTAAACGCTGGACTTCATTCACTCAGGTTCTGTCTGTCGGGTCACGTTTACTTCGCTGGCTGAGGTTAAAGTTACGTTTCACAACTGCATAGTTTCACAGACGTTTAATGGTTCACTGGCACATGTGTTAGACTGAACTATTCGCTTTTCTTTATCTGGTGTGTTTTGGATTTAACAGTGAATTTTGAGATTAAACTGACTTTTAAAATGTTTTTATACAAAGAGGAAAGAGAAGGCGCATTTCCACCGAGAGGAGCAGGGTTTGCAACAGCATGTTCAACATGAAGTCTGCAACCTGGACAGAAATATTATATCATCTGTTTTTTAATAGTTATTCAACTGTATTCTAAGCACCAGCTGTCTGTTAGAATGTGATTTTTTTCCTCTCTCTGTTGGCAGAGGTATAAAAATGCGCAGGAAAATCTGACATGCATGGCGAACTTCACCGACGATATTTAGGGAGGAATAAACACGCATCAAACATAAATGAACCATTTGCCTGTCTCCATAATTGAGAGCATTTTCTCTTCTTATGTCAACACTCTCTCTCTCTCTCTCTTTTTTTTTTTTTTTTTTTTGCTTTTTCGGTCATGTTATGTTTACCTGTCAAAGGCTTGTTACAAACTATGAAACACATTGTGCAGACTTCTGGATGTTAGAAGAAAACTAATACTACTCATGAAGGAGACTAAAGGCAGGAAGGTGTCCTTTAAAACTAAACATGTTAATAGGACCTCCCTGTTTATATCATAGTTTAAGATATAGCACGTGTATTTCAGTAATAGCCTGCTGATTTCAGTGTAGTGGTGAACAGTCGCACAGCTCACATGGGCGTTATCTGTGATTCTCCTTAACTATAATTTATCCAAGTTAACTTCAGTTAACCATTCAGACAGTTCTTTTGCAATGAAAAACATAAACACCCATGCTGCCGGTAGGTTTCCTCAGTGCCAGCTGTTAACATTATAGCTGCTTGTGCAGTAACCATGGTAACCATGGACTGAGCGGCTGGATCGACGGAGGTCAGACAACAATTTTACATGTATGATCTTAAAACAGGACACAGCCACTATACGTGCTGGCCTCATATCAAATGTGAAGGCAGACTGAGTCTATGTTTGACGTTTTTTATATCTAATCTTCCTTTTCAAACATTTAAACAGCAGCGAGTCTGCAGCTGAGGGAATACAAACTCAAACTGTCAGCATAGGTTTGATTGTTTCTTGCGTGTATTAATTTGGTGATTTATTAAATGTATAACTGTTATTCTAATCTGCTGCTGAGTCTCTTACACTTTTCTTTATGCTGTATATTTTCACGTCTCTGGAATAGTTGGAAGTTAGTCAGCTGGGAAACTTTGTGTTAACTCATGGAGCTGAGGATATCGTGGATATGCTGACCTCGCTGCGTGGTGTACAGGGCCGTTTACCCTCATGATTAATATTCACTATAAAAATATTAGCCGAACATCATGAAGTCTGTATGTGTTATGTGTTTCATAGTGTCGAACAACCTTTGTACAGTTAAAGCCAGCAGTTACTACATGACGGAAACACCAACGTTATCTCTTTTACGCGTTTATACACAGGTCACGCTGATTACTGAACAAAAACCCAAAGATCAGATGTTAAACAGATTTATTTGCTCTCTCTCCTCCTTAAACATGTTTTTAATGTTAGCTATAATTCAGAATTGGCGACTGAAACACGTAGGACACATAAGAACATCAGGAAATAAAGCACCAATAAATATAAGCTCAGTAAAAGAAGTCAGCGGGGGTTACTACAGCTGTGTACCGGGGCCTGCGCTTTGTTGGTGGGATTGCTTGCGAGGCGAGCGGGTCTATCCCACGCTTTGCCGTGAGACTGGGCAGACATCTCCGAAATCATCGAAACACTTTTGCAAAGAGGCTGTATCTTGACAAACCGACCAGACACATGAAGATTAAACCACTACATTCTCGGCTAAAAAAATATTAAAACGGTATTTGGTGACACACAAACAGGGTTTTTCAAAGCTCAGTTCTGTTAGCTTCCACATGCCGGTTGTTGTGTGCTAGAAACAATGGCCACCAGGCCAAAGCAATGGTTTTGACTCGATCAGCGTTAACCCCGCCCCCTGAGTTTGATGGGTGAGGCTGACAGATACAATTATTTCATGATGAGAGCCAGGCGCCAGGACTGCCAAAATGAAATAAATAAATATATCATTAAATAATTAATTAAATGTGTCAATAATTAATTAAAATGTGTCAATAATTAATTAAAATGTGAAATACATAAATAATTAATTAAATGTGTCAATAATTAATTAAAATGTGAAATACATAAATAATTAATTAAATGTGTCAATAATTAATTAAATGTGTCAATAATTAATTAATTACATGTGTCATAACTATTTATTTAATTAATTAATTCCAATTTTAATTAATTATTGCCACATTTAATTAATTATTTAATGGTGTATTTAATTAATTCATTATGGCAGTCCTGGCATTCCATATCAGTGGGCTGGTTTCAGTCATTATGCAAATGTACTGTTTATAAGATTGGGGAAACCTGCAGTCAGCTGAGACTGAAGAAGTCACTTGGATGAGTGACGAAACGTTTCTCCCACTGAAAACGCTACGTCCAGATGAACAGAATCAACTTTTGGAGATGGTTGTCAACTGGTTGCATTCAGGTTATAGTCCCATATAAAGGCAAAGTTATCAAGCATGTATGTTATTTTGTAGTTAAATTGAAATCCTGCAGGAACAAGATAAAAATTTATTTCAGATTCTAGCTGGACTCTAAAGTTAAGAAATTGAGGTGAATTTGTATGTTTATACTACGTAACAGTTAATCAGTGTATTATCATGAACAGACTGCATGTAATTGCTAACTTAAACCCATTAATTCACAAAATGATTCACTGACTCTGCCTTATAGTTTGTTTTTTTTGTCGCAGTCTTGATACGCCAAAGATGGTAACTGACTGCGCGTGGCCACAGCCCTGGTCCCCACCTTTGAATAAACTACATCAAAGGCAACAAGACTGCAAGTTCATTGTACAAAGTCGCAATGGTTTTGGTTGTGCCAGTCTCCAACTATCATCCAACCATCTTCCCTATGATTTGATCATAGTTCAGCAAAATAACAGACCGAATAACACATCAAAGTTTTGGACGGAGCTTTCCATACCTCAGTGGATCCAGGATGCATGTCCTGTAACACGAAGTGGATATTGAGTATCTGACCTCCGACAGAAATAGGATTTTTCCTGTGCAGTTGAACAAAACTGGTACAGGCATTCCAGTCACTGAAGTACACGAAGGCCTGTAGGTTAGGATAGAAAAAGCCTCAGATAAAAATAAAAGTTTTCAATAAAGCTTTGTTTGATTTAAAAAAACAAAAACAAATGAGGAATATTAAAATGTCTGTGCTTGTGTCAGTCTTCAGCATCTATTCCTCACCCTCCTCTGCAGTGATAAAACGATGATCTTGTAGTACAGAGTATGAAGATTATGAACAGGGAAATGGTGCCACACCAGCTTGGCGACATCCTCGTGTCGGTAGTTCCCTTCTGGCAAACCGGTCAGCATAATGTGGGGGAAAACAGAGCCTGGAGGACGGTTTTTCTATAGGACACAAAGTTAATTCAAAGAGGGGGGGGAAAAAAGCAGAGGCAACACCTGCACATTGTGCTTCCTTTGATAAAGTCATTAACTATTTTATGCTATTTGATACTGAAAACAGTTCATGACATTTTACATAATTAAGCACAGATTTTCAGAATGTAATGAACATGGGATAAAAATGCAGATTTCATATATATTCATATCAAAATGAGGAGCATGGAGCTTAGAACTGGAGATCAGGGGTGATTGGACGATTGACTCAAAAGCATTACAACATTATTTCTTTAGCAATTAAGAAGAAAATGACAAAAGTTGGTTCAAAGAGAAGCATTTGCAGATTAAGATTCAGCCAGTTTCTCCAAACTTCCAAGGGTGGTTATGCAAACAATTTTCAAACCACTTTCTTAGCCAAATGTTATATCTAGTTGGTAAACAATATCTTATCACAAGTAATTAAAATTACAATTTTCTTGTTACTTGACCAGATTGGAGAATTTATATAAAAAAAAATTTTTTTTAAAAAAAAGTGCTTACCTGTTTTTTTGTCAGCTGGACCGTCACAAAATCTATAAGTCAAAAATAAACAGAGTCACATGTAAGAGCCACTTATTTCCTACATTTTGAATCTGGAGTTAAGTTCTAGTTTAATTTGTTTTTCTCACCTGGGATGACAAACCAAGGAGATGTGGTAGGGAACAAAAAGGGATACGTTTTCATTGTAACCCAAAATGGTGAAATGCTTCCCTGAGGAACGCCAAAATTTGCTGTTGGGATTGTTGCCCCTTCAGTGACAACCTTGCTGTCCGGCAAAGCTTTCGCTGCCAGTCTAGGTGCTGCACAAACAAAACGGAAAAAAAAAGAGAGCTTTATTTTAATTTATTAAATGCTTTGATTTTGACATTTCCCATTTACCATCATATCATTCCAATTATTTTAAGATATTTAACATATAAAAAAAAAAAAGTGACTAGCTGCTGAGGCAGTTTGTTTTTGTTTTCAATGTAGCAGGCAACAGAATTTTAAGTCAAGGTTAATTCTGTTGTATGCATGTATGGCACACGGTTGGTGTGGTCGTGATAATTTTGTGAGGCCACATAAAGGCTCAGATGAGCTTGCCAAAGTTCTACAAGTTGTCCCTCCATCGCTTGTGTCCAGATCACACGCTACACTGCCGTGCTGCTCTTTTCATCTTCATTTCTGTGTTTGCGTGTGCACAGTGTGAGAGGCTGCGTTGACACCCTCACGACGGCCGACAGGATTTCAAACAGGTTTGATTTTCTTATGACCAAAAGATTGATGCTCGGGAGCTGGTCGAGGTCGCTTCTCGTTACCCCATGTATACTACACAATGCACGACATACGATTAAGGTGAAAATCGGGCCGATCCCCAAAACTGTTGCACGACGGAAAAATCGACTCTAAATGGGCCAAAAATCACTCAGTGTATGCCCAGCATAAGGGTTACCAGTTACCCTTAAGGATATTTTTAGCTACCTATTATGTAACTCCCCATACATCTACATCTCATCTGCTTTATTTTATCCAAAAACAAAGACTTACGTCTTGCTGTGGATTCATTTCTTGGTATCTTAATCCTGTAGACATTATGGGCAAAGCCCTGTTTCAGGAGGCTGTACCAAACTCCGAGTCGATCAGCATCGTAAATGGACTCAAATTCAATAAACACCTAGAACAGACATGCATAAACATGAAAGATAAGAGAAGATAAGACAACAATGTCTTTTTTGTTTAAATCCTCGTAATCAAATGTATGAACAGGTGTGTTTTTAACCTTGTTGAGGAGAGGCAGGTAGTTTTTGACAGAACCGATTTTTTCCAAAGCTTCCCTGAGATCATTGGTCTCACTTGGTGAGATATTCTTGATGTAGATTACTGTTGATCCATCATCAGTTGTCTGCTGCTTTAAGAAGAGCCAGCAAACGTTCAAACAAATACAAAGAGTTTATTTTTGTTTGTTCATTTGATATGTTATATTTACAAATCTATGTATAATTCAGGGGAGAAAAAAAAGTTACTTACATAATTCACCAGATTCATCAGGGTGCTATAAAACCCAAGCTGAAACATGAATGTAAGAGAACACAGCGTTAAAGGCACTACGCTCTACGGCAAGACATTTCTTACTCTCTTATTTAATTTTGGGTAGTATCATTTCAAACATTTATTGTATGTAAGGTGGTATTTATAAGGCACTTCAGTCTGGAGGGTTTTCTTTTTTCCTTGATACAAATTTAGCAATTTGTGGCGCAGCACAGCAAAAGGCAGCGAAAGATTAATTTATCTAGTTGCATCATCAATAAATCATAATAATTATTCAAAGAACAGACAGTTTGATATTTTCAAGTTAAAAACTTGTAGCAAGGAAATCAAGATAGATAAAAGCTTTTTGCTAATGTTAACCAAGAAGCTTTGAAGTTTGAGGCAACATAAAATATTTTTAAAAAAGAAAATTTTAAGGCCTTAGTATGGTATTTACATGCTCTATTACAATTAAATAATCTAAAAATTCAATTGATAAAAAACCTACTTTAAACAATATTTTAAAGTTATTTAGTTAATTACCATCCTTTCAGTGCCTTATTTACTAATCTACAGGGATCAACAAGATTGTGCACTAGAAGCATGGCAATTTTTTCCAAACATGCCACAATATACAGTATTTTTGTATTAGTACGTACCGGATTCATTGGAAAGGAGTGGATTAAAAAATCCAAACAAAGTGTGGACCCATTGAGAATAATACTCTTCTCTTTTGACGCTTGAAAAAGCTTTTTTGCCTTCATCAGACTTGGTGCAATGGCAAAAGCCTAGAAGGAAAAGTCACATTTGTTATTATTCCAATTATTCACTGTGCACTGTATACTGTACTTGTGTGTATTTGTGTACTGTGTTGGTGTACACAAATACAAGAAAATGTAGGCTGACCTCACATAAAGAAACCAAAGAGAGACCTAGAAATATACCTGTGGGATCACTGAGTAATGCAGATTTATAACTTGGTACCTACCATACGCATTTGAGGAATAACATAGATGTCATCTTCTAGATATCCAAATTCAAATAGGGTGAGCTGATTGGCAACGTCCGCCTCTGTGTAGCAGCTATTTTCATATTCTGGCAGGTTTGTGATCAACATCACCTTCATTTTAAACAGGAGGGGAAAAGGAGAAATTAGAAGTTAAGATTCAGGAAAGTGAACTTACCCAAACTATTAAGCAGAATGCAACACAGGAGACAAAAGCATGATGACTATCTTGTAAAAAGAAATGTGAAATGCCAAAAGCACCATTTCTGAAAAACAACAACAACAAAAAACACGTTTTGTTGTCACGTTTGTTGACTAAATTTCCAAATTATCTTTACCAAAGTGGAAAAACATTTGTAATTTTTAAAGACCTACAGATAACACTATTACTTTTGCTAAACATTGATAAAGGATATTTTACTAGATTTTTATTATTCTTTTCGCTACAACTAAAACTGAGAGATAGGTTATTCACACCTTTAAGAAAAAGAAGAAAAAAAAAACTTACCTTTGACGGCAATGTTTTATTATTTTTGAAACAATCTGCGAGGTAGAGTGAACATAAAAACAGTTAAATAAATGGAAGTTTTGATCCAAAAAAAACCCAAATAATGACCCACATACAGGCTTCTGTCATTACTTACTCAGGCGATTTCTATCCATGAGCTTTTCCATCTTCTCCCCAAAAGTCAGGTTGCTAAAACTTTGCTGTTGCTTGCCTGCTGTTGCAGCTGTTGGCTCAGTTTTGGAAGATGCAGCTACTGCAGTCGACACTGCTAAAACATTGCTGACAGTTTTTGACAGGTCCTTTTGACTTGTCACAGCAATCAAAAGATCTTAAAAAGGAGGAGAAGTTTTATTCAGATAGATTGCAGTATTTTGAAAAAGAATTTTAGAAGCAAACCTCATGAACATGTCCACAGGCAGACATAAACTAAAGAAATGGCAGCAAACTCAGTAGGAATGTGTTCATAGAAATGCATTGAGTCCTGTGAAAACTATTTTTCAACACTGGTGTATGTTTTTTCATTATCAGTAACAAAGACACAACCTGTATTTTGTGTCTCCAACAACACTGTCCTACATATTCCATGCAATACTAAAGTCACAACTAATAATGCTAATAATGGTGCCTAACTGTTACCTTACTTATTCCTAAAATATAGAGCTTCAGTTTCACAAGCTTAATGGTATCAAACATACCTTTTTGCTGTGCGACTGTGTTCACACTCTGAACCGTCTGCTTTGCCTCCAGGGCAGCTTCAGTTGAACTTCCTGACATTTGCAGGATTTTTTGTCCTAGTGCAGTTGTGGACTCTGGATCTGGCATCACACTCTGTCGGATCTGTGATGAGGATGGCATTTTTATAGTTGTCTGTGGTGTCTTTAGTGGTGTCTTTAATGGGGTCGAAGGTTTGGGTAGAGATGCATCTAGTATGGTGTCAGCTGTATCAATTGAAGGTTGATTCTCCTTGAATTTGGTTGCTAGGGCCTTTTTACATGCTCCAATCTCCAGTGATTCAGCACGTTTGGTATCTTTTGCATCTACATCAACACTGGTAGATTCTACTGGGTGCTTTGTTTCAGAAGCTGCGAGATTTCTTGTTTCAAGAACCTTGGTTGTGTTTTCAAGCACTGTTGCAGATTTTTGAATCTCCAAAGTTTCTGTGTTTTTGACAATGGTCTGTGTCGTATCAGTAGAGCTTTCAACTTCCATGGACTCTGTCTCTTTTGTTTTTCCAGATTCTAGTGATTCACTGTGTTTGGCCTCTTTTGTCTCAGCTCTGGTCTGCAGTCTCTGAGGGTGATCAATTGTTGGTGTGGTCTTGGTTGTACTGGCTGGTGTCTGACCCTCACTCGATTTGGCTAGTAAGGCCTTTTTCTCAGCAAAATGTTCGACTTCCATTGCCTCGTCCACATCATTTTTGGCAGATCCAGGATCTTGAACCTTTGTATCCTCAAAGCAATCCTCAGTGTGTTTGGGCTCTTTTGTCTCAACTTTCAACAATTTTGCCTGCTGCTGTGTTTCAGAAACTGATACATTTTTTGTCTCAGGAATCTTGGTTTTCTTTTCGTGAACTATTCCAGATTCTTGAACCTCTGAATTCTTGTAGGATTCTGTTTTTTTTATGGTAGTCTGTGTTCTATGAGGTGTATGAATCGGATATTTTGTTGGAGATACATCAAGTGTAATCTGAGTTGTGCTGGTTGGTGTCTGATCCTTATTGGATTCGGTTAGTTCAGTTGTTCTGTCAGTAAAATGTTCTGTGGGCTGTGTCACTTTTTTATTCCCAGAATCAAGTGGTTCAGTATGGCTGGCCTCTTTTGTCTCAGCTTTGGCTAATTCTGTCTGCTGCTTCATTTCAGAAGCAGACGCATTTCTTGCTCTGTCTTCCGGCATAACTGCAGATTCTTGAACATTTATATCACTTTTGGGAGTCTTGAAGGTCTCATCAGGCTTATTTTCTGAAGCTTTAGGTTTGGGTGGAACATTTGTGGCATGAACTGTGTCCAACATGCCTTTTTGCTCCTCTTGACCCTTTTCGATCCTTTCAGGTGTCTGCTTTGTATCCAAAGCAGCTTGAGCTGAGCTCCCTAAAGTCTGTAGTGGTGTTTGTCCTATTTCAGAGGACTCTGGTTCTCGTAAGCATTTGCTACCGGAAAAACTTTCAATTTCCATGGGCTCTACGACTTTTGTATTCACAGACTCTAATAGTTGAGTGTGTTTGACCTCTTTTTCCTTCTGATTAACTTTTTCATCAGCCTGGTTCTTTGTTTCAGAAGCTGTTGCATTTCTTGTTTCAAGTACCTTGGTTGTCTCCTCACTCACCACTGTTGGCTGCTGAAACTTCATTTCCATTTCTGGTGGCTTTAAAGTCTCTACACCAGGCTTATCTTCTGAAGTTTTAGATTGAACATTAGTGCCCTTTACAGTAATTTCTTCCACATTTAATGTTGTTGAAGTTCCTGTTGCAGCCAATTGTTGTAATTGACTTTGAGGTTTGTCGATAGTTGAGGCCGTTTGTGCTTGGGCAACTAAGACCTTTGCACGAGTGACAATTGCAGTTCCTTTAATTGGATTCACAGTCTTTTTTGACAATTGGACCACCTTGACTGTATCTTTAGATGCAACTACAGAGCTTTTAGCATTGCTTTCAGATCTTTTGAGGGCAGGTCTTTGTTTTGAGACGGCATCACCCTGCTGCTTTCCTGAACTTTTGGAATCATTACAACCTTTAAGATTTGAAGCATCTTTCTTCTCTTGAACAACATTTACAGCTCCTTTTGCAGCTACTTTGCCTTGCTTTAAGGTTTTGGAAATCGGTTTTGTTGAGACACTTTTTGCTTTGGAAACCAAGACTTTTGCTTTAGTAACAAGTTTGCCTGTTGTATTTTTTTTGTCTCCAGATGACAAAGACAACGGCTTTTTAAAAGAATTTCCAGTTGAAGCAGATTTAGTTGACTTGACGATTTTTCTGTGAAGAAAAGATTTTAATAAGTGCAAATGACAGGAACAAAGAGAATCTCAATCGAGATGAAGGTCTGAATGTCAAGCATATCTTACTTCGGTGGAAGCTTCTGTTGTTTTTTGGAAAAGGTTGGAAGAGGCTTCTTTGTAACAGTATTCTGTAAACAGATTTAGTTTGAATAAACATGAAAAAGTATAATATATTAAATTACATAATAAAATTAGTAAAAGAAATACAGTATAATGATGCTACAGCAATACATTCCAAGTTTTGACAGTTTGACCATAATTAAAAAACAACTCAGAAAAGGTACAATACCTGTTCTCTGACAACAGTGACTGGTATTCCTTTTATGTCGATGCTCTTTAACTTTTTCAGTTTTTGAGCATCCTCTTCTTTCATGAAATTCACTTTTGCCTACATGTGCAAATAAACACACAAAGTGAAATCATTGTGATTATTTCAACCATCTAGACTATGTCCCCACTATATTCACAAACTAAAGGTCAGATTTACCATGTGGGGCAAATTAGCCAGAGACCACATTCACATTCAGTACCAAGACCAGCACAAAACAGTGGTTCAAAAACAAGCAGACATAACAGCAATCAACTAAACTAAATTTTAATTAGGTATAGGTTGTTTTTTTGTTTTGTTTTTTTAAATCTTCTCTTCTAAAACAGCACTTCAAATCATGTAATGGCATGTTTTTTTACACAAGCCTGAACTGTCAAATATTGCTCATAAAAAGAGATTTTTTGGGATGAAAAGCATGTTTTGCTGCTTGGATAATCCCCAACCAAACAGCAAAGCAATAACCAAAAACAGAACAAGGGCACTTCTATACATGTTTATGTAACTCAGAGTTATGTTAGGTTATTGTAAAACTTTCAGTCATGTAAAAGAGAAAGAGCAGGTTGATATGGGCTCAAATTATGGTCATAAATATTTTGTACTTGTAAATCAGGATTTGTATGTGTAAAAAGAATTTGTGTGTGCTTAAAAAAGATTTGTGTGTTAAAAGAATTTGCGTGTGTGTGTAAAAAAAGATTTGTGTGTGGACTTAGCCAAAAAACTACGTGAGAAAGTCTGCACTCAAGTTTCAAGTTACAAGTACGGATTTTGACCCTATTTTTCTTCCTTTGATCTGATTGGCCAATGTCATGTCAATCACAAATTTAACTATCCAATCTGAGAACAGATGGGTTTGGCTGTCGAAGGGGTGCTTTTTTGAACTGCACGTCCTTGAAGGGTAATAGTTTGAAGCTGGAAGATCTCTATATAAATATCTGGTGGAAGCTAGGTCCCCTAACTTTCAGCAGCTGAAAGGATAAAGTTGTGGTATATCAGTGGTTAGAAATACCATTATTACTTTAGGATTAGTTTAACACAACGTCAGGGCTGACCCGGGACCATTGCTGTGAGTCACAGTGCGCAGCATAAAGGTCCTTTCACATCGGACGCAGCATGTGCTGCTAATGCTAACTGCTAACTAAAAGCCAGGGATCCAGAATTTTTTGCACTGGCTGCTGGGCTCTGTGGGTTGTTGCAGCAGCTCTACCTGTACTAGATGCACCTGCTCCTTGTCGTTTCTATCTCTAATTTTTTTTCTTTTCAAGAGTTTTTTTTTTGCTGGTTCTTCAAATGTTCAATAAAAACATGCATGCTCATTCATAACGAAGGACAGCTTTGTAATTATCCCCACTAGTGAAGACTATCATTTTCACAACACTGCCCCCCCCCCCGGAGGTTCGCAGCGCTGTTGAAAAGGTTCAGGAGATCCCTGTATTAAGCATGTAAACCTGTGACACAAAAATCACAAAACTCAGACCACCACAGACTGTTTTCCTGGTGATGAAGGAAAACCTGGGCTGGCATGTAAAAGGGCATTTATTCCGTTCAAGGACCTGCAGTTCAAAAAAGCACCCCTCAAACAGCCAAACCCATCTGTTCTCTGATTGGATAGTTAAATTTGTGATTGACATGACATTGGCCAATCAGATCAAAGGAAGAAAAATAGGGTCAAAATCCGTACTTGTAACTTGTAACTTGAGTGCAGACTTTCTCACGTAGTTTTTTGCCTAAGTCCACACACAAATCTTTGTTACACACACACACACACACACGCACACAATCTTTGTTACACACACACACACACACACACACACACACACACACACCTTTGTCACCACACACACACACACACACACCTTTGTCACACACCACACACACACACACCACACACACACACACAACACAACACCTTTGGCTACGTTCACACTGCAGGCAAAAGCGCATCAAATCGATTTTTGACCCTATGCGACCCATATCGATCATGCTATGACAGTGTGACGGCGCAAATCCGATATTTTCAAATCCGATCTGGGTCACTTTCGTATGTGGTACTGAATCCGATACATATCCGATGTTTTAGAAAGCGACTGCTGTTTGAACGGTCAAGTCGCATTAAATCCGCTTTTACGTCACCGACACAAGACTGAAGCAATTATCAGTGCCGGAGAAGGCCCGAGAAGACATCGCGAACGCTTCCTGGCCATCCAGTGTGGATGTCAGTGAAACTGTTGGGAAGACATCGTAAACATTTTATTTGTACTGTATAATCTGCAGATTCTGACAGAAATCTACAGCTATCCTTTGAAGCACCGCTCCTCTCTTAAACGGCAATAAGGATCATTATTAGGTTATTTACATTATTATGTAAATAACAAAATAACTTAAAGCAAAAATTGGGAAACGTGAAGACCGAAGTCTTTATATTAAGGCCATCAGTCAAACAATACTGTTGCTCTGGGTCTAAACAGAGCGCGTTGTGTGTGACATCTTCTTTTGCGCATGCGGGCCGCTTTGAGCGTTCACACTAGAGAGCGTTTGCTGTCGCTTTTATTTGTAGTGTGAACGAGCAAAAAAAAAAAAATCGGATTTGATCAAAAAATCGGAATTGGAGCATTAAGACCTGCAGTGTGAACGTAGCCTCAGTTACACACACACGCACACGCACACAAATCTTTGTTACACACACAAATTCTTTTTACACATACAAATCCTGATTTACAAGTACACAATATTTATGACCACAATTTGAGCCCATACATTGAGGTCAAGGGCATATGTACCACCTTCATAAGGTCCAATTAAAGCATTTCAGTCAGGTTGAGGTCTGGACTTTTACTATTGCACGGTCTAACTGTGGGGTGAATTTACTAGAACGTCCACTCCTGAGAAGATTGCCTTTGAATATTTTCCACTTGTGAAGAATCTTTCTAACTTTAGAATGGTGGACTACAAATAGTGGTATAAATAGCCTAAAAATACAGATTGACTGATAATAATAACTGACTATCTAAGATCATTGCTTATGTCTTTCCTCCTTGGCATTGTGTTAACACACACCTAAATAGTCCATATGCTCACACTTCCTTAGAAACCTTAGAAATGACAAAGGGTGTACTTCCTTTTTCACATGACTCCATGTACCACATACCTTTATAGCAAAAACATATCAGCTGATTACTCCCACTATACATACCTCTAGCTTGGACCTGTACAGTACAATGGACTCTGTTTTTCCAAAATGTTCCACAGCAGCAACCACGTCTTCATGAGAAAAAGTTTCGACAATCCCATGTAATTTGACCATTGTTGAAGTAAAAGATTTACTAGCCTGTGCAACCAGACAAAAAAAAAAAAAATCAGTAACTAACTATAGACTTGACTGTGAATGATTGAAACTAGTTCCGTTTATAATTTGTTTGGTGTAGACAAACACATCCTTGTCTGTCGACGAGTCCTGTTAGTCATAAGGAAAACTTTTCTTTTAATTGTTTCTTTCTTTTCCCTTTATCACAGATCAAAACATTTTCTCAGTGCCTTAGACCCAAAAGTTGAGGATGAAAGAAGGAACTATATTACTTAGCACTCCTTAACTGTTGGCAAACACACCAACCTTAGGCTTTGAAGAGGTACTTGCTTCACTCTTATGAAGTCCAGGTTTACTTTCAGCTGACTTGGTGGTCTTCGCCTTCTTTGAGGAGGAGGAGGATGTAGAAGCAGAGGATGATAATGATAATGGTGACTTCATCTTGGCTAGCTCAGCCAGTATGACAGGAGCGATTGTTTCAGCTATGGCCTCCAGGTCAGACTTTTTTGACAAAGAGTGGAGACCTAGAAGGACAAAGATGGAAAAAGAGTCACACTTTGGTGGTTCATATGTCTAAACAGAGAAGGTTATCCTGTCAGTTGGAGTGTTTTATTAAAAAAAAAACAGAGATAGGTGAAATTTCTGTAATTTCAGTAGTTATTTTATTTATTTTTTAAAGTTAAATGGTAAATGGCCTGTATTTGTATAGCGCTTTACTTAGTCGCTATGGATCACATAGACAGACAGACACACAGACACACATACATACATACAGAACATTTTCACTATACTCCACAGCAGTATAGTGAAAATGCTGTGGAGTATGAATTTGATCATGTTTGACAATGAAAACATACATTTGGAAGTGGGAGAAATGTATTAATTATGAGTATATTTTAAGTTATATGTATGTGCACACTGCCAAACCTGTGGTTTCCAGCAGCTGTTTAGCAAGTCTTTTTGTACTGCTGTCCAACTTCTTTTGTTGAGGCCTCTTTTCTGATGATGAGCTCTTATGACTTCTGCTCAGTGGCAAACGCTTATCATCTTGTCTCCTTGTCAGCAATCGTCTTTCATCACTCCTCTTTTGTAGTAACTGTTTCCCATCTCTCCTTTTCGGTGAGGATCGTCTTTCACGGCTCCTTGAATGTGATTGATAATGCAAGGAGGCAAGATAGTCCTTCCGTGGGGAGAAGGAACGAGACCGGGACCTAGAAAGTAAGAATCAAACATTTTTTTCAAAAAGTGGTTCAGTATGGCTGGCCTCTTTTGTCTCAGCTTTGGCTAATTCTGTCTGCTGCTTCATTTCAGAAGCAGACGCATTTCTTGCTCTGTCTTCCGGCATAACTGCAGATTCTTGAACATTTATATCACTTTTGGGAGTCTTGAAGGTCTCATCAGGCTTATTTTCTGAAGCTTTAGGTTTGGGTGGAACATTTGTGGCATGAACTGTGTCCAACATGCCTTTTTGCTCCTCTTGACCCTTTTCGATCCTTTCAATAAGGACATTTTCAAAACTGCCAATGAAATACCTCAAAGAAAAATTTCTATTACAAATCCAGTAAGGATAAAAAGATCAAACCTAACACTGATGCCATGATACAATTCACTGGAATGGAAATCTTTTATTTTTTTATTTTTATTTTTTAAATCGGACCTGCGAGCACGTCTGGAGCTGCTTGGCGTTTGTGATCCACTACTGAGTTTCTCTCTTCTCTCCCCAGAGCTGTAGTGGTGGTGAGGGCTCTTTGAGCGAGAGCATAAATAGCTTCCATGTTTAGGCCTTCTGCCATCCAAACCAAGGTGGCGATGTGGGCTGTGTGAGCGAGAACGGGAATGACTCTCACGCCTGGTTTTCTGATGACGATGCTGGGAAGTTTTGCCAGAGGTGGAGGACGAGGACTTCTTTCCTGTATTTGAAGCACTAATAAGAGCAACAGAGGTTTAAAAAAAAGAAAAAGAAACTATAAATAACTGTAAAAAAAACAAACAAACAAAACCCTGCAAAGCTGCTGTACTTTTAATTTCCCAAAAGACAAAGACTTTTACCTTTGGTACGTCAGTACTTTACCATCCCACTGTGGATATCTGTCAAAATAAATAAATAAATAAATAAATAAATAAATAAATAAAAGGGAAATCAAAAATCTATTAAAACAGCAAATGTTTTAAAAATGTAGATTTCTGCAACTACTAATCAATCTTAAAAGCATGATTTCTCAAGGGATCAATTAACCCTGGCAGATCAACCCTATTAACAATGTTGCTTGAGAAAAGTAGCTCACCTTACAATTTTTAAAACTGATTTTGATTACCTCTTCAACAAGCTATAGAGCAGCAGTCCCCAACCCCCGGGCCACGAGAGTTGAGGCTCAGATGTGAAATGTATGATTTTCAGGGTTTTTAGCGTTATTTTGTTGTCGTTTTTATCGTTAACTCTGTTTTCCTGGGTCTTTTCAGGTGTGTTATGAATAAATCTTCTTTTTTTTCGATACTGGTACTTGTTTTATTTTGTTGTATTTATCCGCGACACCTTAAAGGCCGGTCCGTGAAAAATATTGTCGGGCAAAAACCGGTCCGTGGCGCAAAAAAGGTTGGGGACCACTGCTATAGAGGATATACTACCCATCTAAACTACTAACTCCAAAGCATCAGGAACAATGCTACGAAAGACTTTATAACGTTACAACCACTCATTCTGTTCAGTAATCCACTGAAACGTTAGGCCAAAACGTGTTCAGACATCCCCAGTTAAAGAAAAAGTTAAAAGAAGAAAAGACTGACCGTTTCCGAAGAAGTTTGCAGTTGTCAAGGTGAAAGCTGGTATTCTGGTGAAGGAGCCATTCCTAGTAGTCAGAACAAACATTTTAGATGGGCCTCATTGTCATAGCAAAAGTATTATTAACCACAACCGCTCGGGTGACGTTTTTTCTAACCATCTGACAACCAATGTACTTAGCATTCACAGCAGCCTTTAGACTTCTTTCAAAGTTTGGACATCAGCTGACTGTTCATAAGCCATAGTGGAAAGCAATAAATGTACATACAAGTATGATAAATCTATAAAGACAAAATCCTTAAAGATTGAATAATTTAGCATATTTATAAACAACACCAAATAGGATGGCATGGAAGACCACAGTCATGGATTTAGTAACAAAACAAAAAAAAAATACAGAAATGTAAAAAGTCTTGCAGGACTCTTGATTCTGCAACATAGGTCTCGTCTGTCCTATGTGTGAATGTGTCAATAAAAATGAGTCCTGAGGTTTGATGTCATTTCAGCAGAGGTCAGGTCTGGATGGAGATGGAAAACAAAAAACAAAAACAAAAAAACAAAAAAAACAACCCACCTGTAATTGGTATTTGGGCAGTCAAAGAAGAAGACCCATCCCCCTTTTTCTAAAGGTCTCGCATTGGGGGTTTTCATTTTATAGCACAGTAGTATGCCAAAGTCTTGAACCCCTTGTTTATTTATACTAAAACAGGTCACGTAGCACATCATTATATACCAGCTAGCCAAACTTCAGTAACCCTACAAACGTCACTGCTGTTTAGTTTTCTGTCTTCATTTATGCTGGAAGTGATAACAGAGCTGTACGTTTTAATTTGTTTCCAAAACCCCGCAGTCAGGACATGCTATATTGTATTTAGATAGAAGCTAGCGAGCTAACTCCCTGCTAACTTCTAACTCCGTTAAATGTCATAAATTCCGTTTTCATGGATGCCTGGATGTTAAACTAGAGCTGGGCGATATGAGATTTTTTCATATCACGATATGTTTTTTTCATTTCAGGCGATAACGATATCTATCACGATATAAGCCAAATAACTATTTGTAAGATTTAAATGTGCCGTTGCTCACAAGTAAAATGTGAAATAATCAGCAGCTTGTTTTTATTTAAATATTTATTTCCCATAATAAGTTCAACAGGGTAGATGTACTCAAGGAACATGAGACTTTTTCAGATAAATAAAGGCAAATATTGCAAACTACACAAAAGGCAGCCGCTAAAGCGTTTAAGTTTCAAAATAGAACAAATGAAACAGACTAAATTGTCAATTCCACTTAGAAATAAAGTATTAATTCTAAAAATAAATCTTAGTTTGTTTTACAGAAGAACAGACAAAACTGACTAACTTTTGTCAATATCAAATAAACTGAGAACTAAAAGGAAATTCTCAATCTCTCCTTGTTGTATAGCTGAGCTTTTCAAACACTTTTAACAGTTACTTTAGTCTGACAAAAGCCGAATGACGAATTAGCGCTTCCAGTCAGAGACTGAGGCTACGTCCACACGTACACGGGCATTTTTGAAAACGGAGATTTTCCGTTTTAAAAAAATAATCCCGTCCACACATAAAAGCAGAAATGAAGGAAAACGCTGCTATGAACATGCCAAAGCAGCAGGTGGCGCTAGATTCCTAACCGTGCAGAAATGTTGGCCAATCAGAAGTCTAGAAGCCTTGGTGGGAAAAAGTAAACAAAGCTGGGGCATAGAAGCAGAACCGAGTCGTATGTGTGGACGGACAGTAACTGTGTGTATATGTAAGCATTTAAACACTGCAGAGAGTAGAATTAACAGTATTGTAGAAATTCATTTAACCGAAACAATAACGTGGCGCACAGTGTGACGCATGCACCAGTTTATTGTATTTCCAGACTTGCTTTCGGCACAATTTACAGTGCACACTACTCTGTTTTTGTCAGACTTGAAATAGCCGAAATACCTTCACACTACGGACCTTCTTTGGCTCTTCCGTTCGACAATCTCTCCGGCATTGGAACCATCATCTGTTTTCTCTTCGGTCACACTCGGTTGATTTTTCTAGTCGGCACACTCATTTCCTCCATTATGCGCTGGCTCCATTACCCGCTGGCTGCTTCCCAAACAAACACACGTGCGGCTTGGCACTTGTGCTGTACGTAACAAGTCACGCGACGTGACGCTGCGGCTGTGATTGGTTCGGCTCTGCGCTACTTAATTTGGATTGGCTGACCTTTTTTTTTTTTTTTTTTTTTTTTTTTTTTTTAAGAGGACAAGAGCGGCGAGGTCTATCGCGATAGCTTAATTTCTCTATCGAGTAAAAGTTATATCGCGATACATATCGTTATCGTTCTATCGCCCAGCTCTATGTTAAACTCAATTGTTACACCTGGTAGAGCAGAACGCTGATCATTTTATTAAAGATGAAAGACTTTAGACAGTTTTTCAACTCTTAGTAATGCCATAGTGATCGTTTGATATATGGACCTGCAGCGGAGTTTAGACCCAGACACGGCTAGTGACGTCAGACTGAACAATCGGATAGAAATAAACTTTATGAGGGCAAGACAAGAGTTTTTAATAACATCTGGATACCAATATTTGGAATGGTAAATTGTTAAATGGCCTGCATTTGTATAGCGCTTTACTTAGTCCCTAAGGACCCCAAAGCGCTTTACACTACATTCAGTCATCCACCCAGTCACACACACATTGACACACTGTTGATGGCAAGCTACATTGTAGCCACACCCACCCCGGGGCGCACTGACAGAGGAGAGGCTGCTGGACACTGGCGCCACCTGGCCCTCTGACCACCAGATGTTATTAAAAAAGGTTCTTGACAGCCACCCTTCCACTGAGACCATGATGAGGCTTCAGTGAACAGGAGATTGTTCAACTGAAGGGCCACATGCATGTTGCAGGTCTTTTTTTTTCCTCCTGTCTCTGAAGGACATGACTTTCAGGTACTGTTTATCTGCTTTAAATAGTTTTTCCAATACTGTCACTTCTCTTTTCTTGCACTTGTCCAGCTTCCTCAAAATACTTTAAGGACACATGCTAAGGTTTTGGCTAATGGCTCTTTTGGAATCATCTTTTTGGCGCAAAACCACTACACGTTCTGCAGTGGTCAGAAAGTGTTATCTTTGGCAATTTACATGTATTTAACTAAAAATGTATTTCTGCAACAAGCTGACAAAGTGCGTAAAATTACAATTTAAAAAGAATTAGTTGCCTAGTTATCGGTTTTGTGTAGACACACTAGTGGTTCAACCTGTGGGCTTGCTGGATTTTTTTTATTGGTTGAATCATTCATAGATCAGTGTTAACTGGTTTAACAAACAAACAAAAAACATTCCTCTGAAAATTGTTTGGTACAAGAACTGGAGTGAAATGAGTGAAAAAGCAGCCAATGTCCAAAGACAATCTTTGAAAGTCCTTCATAAAGCCTGGAGAACTATTGCTCAATACCATTTGCAATAACAATTGCATCTCTGGATCCTTGGAGAGGAAATGCAAGGGGCTCAAGACTTTTGCAGCATACTATAGAACATCTTAATTTTGCTTCACAATCTCAACCAATGACTGTCACTGCAAGATGACTGCTACTCTTCTTAAGACAGTAACTGTTCTTAAGTGGATGGCTGTAAACTAAATATGAATTAGGGGGAAAAGTCATCTTTCTGATGCTCATGTTCCTCAGATTTGCAGACTCTTCATCTTCACTTATCGTTTTCTTTTTGTTGGGCAGAAACTTCCAATTTGCCATTATTGTTAAATTAAATTAGAAAAAGGGTAACTATGAATTACTTTCAGAGACTAACGCAGCTCGGATAATCCAATCTTAACTATTTTCCCCATAAATACAACATCTGGCAATCTCCCTTGTGCCCTAAGTGACATGTTTTGACATGTCAACATATATGAATAAAGATGTTGTTTGAGAACCATTATAAAATGTTCCAGTTTTTTCAAGAGGCAGCTCTAGTAAGCTATATGAGCAGACTGATGCACACCCAGTCATTTTCTTCTAGACTGAAATATGACAGAAATCATTTACTTCATAAGTCTTGTATTTGTCCAAGGTGGAAAGACTTAAATAACAGATCAGAAGAATATGCTACAGAAATTTACATTTAAAAAAGCAGTCGTAAAGTTTGGAAGCAAGGAGGTTGTTTCACAAATTAATGTTGGTTTTTTGGTTCTTTTTAAAATTAACCAAAATGATAGACAGAAATAAATACCCGTAATGTTCTAAATGGAGACAGAAGAGAGTACGGTCTTCCACTCACCTTCATACCAGTACATTTTTGCAAACACAGAGAACAGGTATGTGGAAAGGTTTGTGGTGTGGCTGCAGCATAGTCTTGCATCATGGCCAACGCTGGCAGAACCTTTGATAGCTCCCTGTCTGCACGACACTGCGTGCTGGAAAGTGGCAGCGGCATATAAACGAAGTTCACTGGTTTAGGAATTATCTGAGGTGCTAGAGGAGTAGCTGGTTTTGCAGACTGGCATTGTCCCATTTGCACTGGTGGTTGTTTCTGGTCCTGCTGCTGCTCCGCCTGTTTCTTTAGCTCCTGCTGCATCTGCCTTTGGTGCATCTTCTGATTGTTTATGGGTTTAGCAACCTTTGGCACTTGTTGTTGACTTTTACTTTGATCCTTGGTGCAGCTGTTATCCTTCTTGCCGATGAGCACAAGCCCAGGTTGATCAGGATGCACACCACGTGCAATATGACTGAGAGGTGGTTGGATTTTTAATGCCAAATGGTAATCTGGCTCTGGTTCTTTCAAAGGAACTGGTTTGAATTTGAGAAGTCTTAAGTCTGTGTCTTTCTTTGGCAGAGAGAAAGAGCTGATGATTTCTTGAGATGCCTGGTGTGGCTGAGTCAGCAATCGTTGAGTTAGATTCCTGCTTGGAGGAGGCTCATAGCTCTGCATTGAACTATTAATGGAAACAGTACCCCGGTGGTCATGTGAAGAAACCAAGGTGCTGGTTTTCACCTCTGCCGTACCTTCTTGCAGTGGTTCTCTATTGCAATTGTCACCATCACAAGTGTCCATGAGCAACATACTGCCACTCTCACTACTGTTAGCTCTACTTTCACTGCTCTTTCCTATATCACTGCCAAACCCTCCAGCGTATTTGCTAGTATGTCCATAGTCAATCACTTTACTTGGTTTGATAATCTGTGCCAATTCGCCCTGTTGCATCCCTTCCCTTCTGAACCTGTCCATTACGGTCATGCTGGGGGTGGGTTGAGGTTCAGGACAGGCTTTTGAATGAACAATAGCTTTAACATTCTCAGCCTTCTTCATGCGGATTTGCCTTAAGATAAAAGGCAGATTGCCAGGGGTTATCTGGTCTTCAGGGTAGGAGATCAGATATTCCAAGTCATCTTTTTCAAGTCCAAAACGTAAAAGGATGTTAGAAGCTTCTTGTGAAGAGTACTTTGGGTAACTGGAATCAGTATTGAGCACAGGTTTCTCTTGCATTCGATAGTCAGAATCACCTAAGCCTGGAATGGACTGCATATCCTGTTCTCTTTCACCACTGCCTTGGAAGCTCAGTGAAGTAGATGAAAAAAATCTAGAAGAAACATTTTCAGTGACTTTCTTATAGGTTGACCAGTCCAAGGAGCAAGGCCCACTTTTAAAATCAGAGTGTCTTTGAGATGCTGAGCACATTGGACTGGAGGCAACCGTTGCAGTTGAAGAAATAAACTTGTCTTCTTGAGTGCTGGTAAAGCAAGGGGCCTGGTTAACAGGCTGCTGTCTCATCTCTGTCCTGGCTTGACCAAGATACATTTCTGTAGATCTCTTCATGCCTCCATCTAAAATAGAACTACTCTGTGGGGGGGTGTAGCTCACTGGAAAAGCACGCAGTGAAGGAATTGTTCCCAACGTAGTGTCAGAAGTTCCAGAGGATGCTCCAGAAGAGCTAAGCGCATTTCGACACTGCGCAGAACTTTCTATCCCAAAATTATAGGGGTTATGAAGGGGATGGGACATGGTTCAGAAAGTCAAGGATGGCCACAGCAGTCAATGGAATGGGTGTTTGAGTGTTTTGTTTTGGTTTTTTTACAAAGTAGGTATGCTGGAGGTCATTGTCAATGTGGAGCTCGTGCAAAATGCAAAGTGACCATTCAGTCAGGCAACCATAATCACGAAGTCTTGTGTGTAGAGAGATCCTTTAGAGAACTTCAAGTATGTGGTTTGATGGTGATCCTGGGTGCGGGAGAAGGGAAATCTTCAATAGCAATTACAAAACTGAGAAATTAAAAAAAAAAAGTTTTTGAACTGGTGTGGGCTTCAGCTTCCTGGATGGGTGAAATCCATCTGGAAGGTCTTGTCTGGATTTGTTCACTCTGTTGCTTCCTGCCAAATATAAATTTATCATTACAATATCAGGATCTTTACTACTAGAAATAAACAGGAAGCACAAACATCAAAGGTCAGATAAAAAGAGAAAACAAGGTCAGAAAACAGAAAAAAAAATGCAGGCAAACTCATTTACCACCAGCAGATTGACTACAAAAATTTAAAAACCAATTTGTACTTTAGAGAACATCATTATAAATCACTGAATAATTTGAACTGAGCTTTTTTGGGGCAGAATGACTGTGCAACATACATTTTTAAGAGTAAAAAAAAATTATCTGTGCACAAAATTGAATTCATATAAGGTTTTCTTACATATACATTCAGAACACCTATGCTTTTGTAGTATCATTCTGTTTGCAAATTTTACCACTTTGTTTGAAATAATTTCTTCCCTGGCAAAAATCTGACTTTCAAGTATAGTCCACATTTGTTATCAGCTGAAGCTCAGGACTTTGAAAAGGCCATTCCAAAAGCTTAGTAGCTAGCCTGTTCCAAAACTAGCCCTATTGACATATCTGATTTTGTCGAAACTTTGCACAATGGTTTGGGGAGTTGCTAAAGAATTCTTCAGTAGTCTGTTTCTTTCATTATTATATCCACTCTAATTCGATGTACCAGCTTCACTGGCAGCAACAGCTCAATGCTTGTTCATAAAAAAAATCTCTCAAAGTCTTCTTTGTCCTTTTGGTAGGTTATCAACATTAACTGATTTTAAAAGTATTGATTTTGTTGCAGTGGTTTTTCTCTTCAGACGCAGCCTCTCGGTCAATGGTGATGTAAAACTTGCTCAGCAATGATCTTCTGTCAGCTCCCAATCCATGGCAGAGCTGTGCTTTGGTGGTTTTTGACTCTTCAAACCAACTTTTTATGGTGTCCTTCGGGTCTTTTTCAAATCTTAACAAAGTATGTACAGTTCCCAATGACTTATATAATTGAATCTATTCTATTCCATTCCATCTGATGATGCCAGAATCTGCAATGGTTTAGAAAGGGCTCAGACACATTTCTCACTTGTGTACTCCTATAATCCTCTTCAGATCTCCAGTGATGTCCTGGGAATTCCCCATTTTACTGTGTATTAACTTCTACCAATGAGTGCTGTGAACCAAACCTTTCTGACACAATTATAACCTTGGCCTTGATAGTTCAGAATTTTTCAAACTTTCACTGCTACTAAAATGTAAGCAGGTATACGGTCACATTTCAGAAAACCCCAAATATAGACAAAATATTTGGCACCAAATTCTTGACTGTTTTACTATGAAAGATATACGTTAGGGCTGCTCGATTATGGCAAAAATGATAATCACGATTATTTTCACTGAAATTGAGATCTCGATTATTTGACGATATTTATTTAACAATAACAATGTATTGAATAATGACTTTAAAGACTGTCAAAAAAATAATATAAAATAGTGTGCAAATACTGATAACAGTGCAAATGTTTGCAATATAAAAAATAAATGAAAAATGTAAACATCTATGTTTAGTGAACTTTGCAGTGTTGCTCTGTGGTGCAGCTACGACAATGTAGCAAAGTTTACACACTATGTCTACTTGATCCACATCTGACTCCGTGAACCCATAACGTTTCCACACCACTGAAGTTTTTTTTACCTCTCTTTTCAACCAACAGCAGTCACTCTCCTCTCCAAATAACTTCTGCTTAGCTTTCAGAGCTTCCCTCGGGTCCGCTTAATCAGCGGTCCCCAATCCCCGGGCCTCGGACCGGTACCGGTTCGTGAGTCGTTTGGTACCGGGCCACGAGAGTTGAGGCTCAGGTGTGAAATGTATAGTTTTCAGGGTTTTTAACTGGTTTTCAGCGTTATTTTGTTATCGTTTTTAATCATTTACTCGGTTTTCCTTGGTCTTTTCACGTGTGTTATGAATAAATTTCCTTTTTTTCGGTACCGGTACTAGTTTTATTTTGTTGTATTTATCCGCTATACCTTAAAGGCCGGTCCATGAAAATATTGTCGAGCATAAACCGGTCCGTGGCGCAAAAAAGGTTGGAGACCGCTGCTCTTAATTGTTGTGACACGTGTTCGAAATGCAGAGAGGTGCGATCGGTTTGCCACACGGAGCAGCGCGAGAGTAAAGCACGAGGGAGGGGCTAATAATCGGCTCAGTCATTTTTAATGATCGTTGAAACCCTAGATCGTAATCGAGATTTAAATTCAATTAATTGAGCAGCCCTAATATACGTTATGCAGCCATTCAGCCCCAGAAAAAAATTACATTTCTCATAAATTACTGACAGCGTTATATTGATTTGACATTTATGTCCATGAATGTATGTACACTTATAATCTAAGTTGTGTATCAACATTCAGGTATTTAAATGCTGATGCCATTTAGAAAATTTGAAAACATTACCCAACCTTTGACTGTATTATCCAAAAAGATTGCAAAAGTATATCTTCAATAAAAATTATATCCAGACATTACTTCTCAAAGAAAAACAAACGATACACTCCTTGTTGATCTGGTAGGCAATGCAAGTGGTAATGCAAAAAAAATTAAAATAAAAACAAAAAAAATATTAAGGTTAGCAAGAAAAAAAAACAAAAAACAAAAAAAACATGCTTTTGGCTCATCTTCAGTCAGTCCACATATTTTCATCAGATGACATTGTCTTGCAGCCTGAGAAAGCCAAACCAATCTGGTATCTGACATGCAGTACGGACAGACCGTAAATCCAGCTTTACTTTGTGGTGTGGTAAAACATGTCCATGTCCAAACTCCTCTCCGTGAAGTTTTTGGTGCAGGAAAATGTCCCAGTATTCATTCGATGAGAGATGAGATTACCAACTTCATGAAAAATTATATATTTGAATGAGGATATTAAAAATGGTTAAAAATAAATAAAAATGAATGTGTGTGTCTGGGATAGAACAAAAATGCTTCCAGACAGCCTACAAGATAGAGGACTTGAACAATTTCACAAGACGTTTCAGGAGCAGTAAAAAACAACAACAACAAACAAACAAAAACAACAGCAATAATACTAGTAGTACAAAAGCTACAAAATAACATTACCAGATATTATCTAGCAAGTATTTAACATCTTAACATTTTGTGCTCGTATACTACACATCATGCACAACTTCTAAAATTAAATGATTCTTAGAAATGCAGGAAATACAACTCTAGACTAAAAGTGCCTCAAGTCAATAACTTGAAACTAGAGCACAGAGTGTGAAATACAGCCCACAGACTCGATCCAGCTTCCTGCTGCCAAAAATAAAAAAAATTAAACTGTGTCCAAACAAACTTTTTCATAGGACAAAATAACACCTTTACTCAAAATGTAAACTATAGAGACACAAAGCTGCATCTAAGTGACCTTTTCAAAAAGCCATATTTCCTAACAAGTTTTTGGTTTAATAATTAAACAAAATATTAACCCATTCCTATTCGTTGTGTCTTCTAAAATTCAGTTCTGCATAACTCAGCACTATGTACATCATGTTTCAATTCAGTTTTTCACAATGTAGCACTTTAGTCTGTTTTCCAAATCAAGAAGAAGTAAAACACAGTATCTGCAGCTGACCTAGAGGAGCTAAAGGCTGCCTGCAGCTGCTTTTCTCTCTGGATCGCTCAGTGGGGTTTTTTAGCAGTTCGCTTGAGCTCGGGTTTGGTGGCCCATGATGGTCCAGGTGTGCTGAGGCATACAAATCCACGTAACTACAGCCCAACTCAATAACAGACAGCATTGTCTCTCTAACTACACCACCTCTCCCTTCATTTATTTTTCATCTGAATTAAATTTTCATGATATTTATCCATTTTTGAAATTAAATTACATGTATTTGCTTTGAAAAACAACTCTCTATATGTAAATTATTGAATTTATGTGCAGGGACTACTCTGAGAAGTCTTTGCAATACATCTACGTTACAGATGAAAGAATATTACTGAGCCAAAAGTAAGTTGAATAAGACCTTTAGATTGCAGTTGTAAAATGAAAAGTCTGTTAACTTACATGCGGAACTTGCCTGTGTTATCAAACCCAGTAAGCGCTAATGGTTCTGCATTCATGACTCTTCTCAGTGCAGAATATCATTGCTAACATGTTAAATAGGAGTTAATTAAAGTTTCTTCAAGCTATACTCTTATTCCTCTACATCACACATTGGCCAAGGTGACTAATAAGAGAAAGGTTATCTGTTAAAATTATAAGTTAGAGTAATTACTCATTAATTGCTACTGCTCAATCGTTTCCACACACCTACATTTTCAAAATGTTTCAAAATGTGTGGTAAAAAGTGGGTGTACACAAGCTAATCTTCATTTAAATATCTGTATCTCTTTCTTTTAGCAGTGCACAGGGAAATAGGACCCTGTAACTTAGTAAAATAAGTGATCAGATTTCCTTAATGCACTATGAAATTTTTTTGCATTAAAGAAAAGTTGATTCTCCCTGTCAAATATCCTGTCAACTACAGTTCTCAGTAAAAAAAAAAAAAAAAAAGAAAAGAAAGAAAAAAACCTTTATGATTATGATGATCATAATCATAAAGAAAAAATTGCCATCTGTACATCACTTGCTATTTTGGTTATCAAAACCTGACCAGGTGCTTTTTTAAACAATTAAACCTAACAAAGTGTTTTTTATTACTAAAACCTTGTCATGCTGTTAGGTTAGGTTTAGGGGAGGTCTGTGCCACCCCATTTTAAAAATCCTGGGAATCCCCTGTTTGCAATTAGGCCTTTGCTTTGCCTGTACACAGGTATACACACTCATATACATATGTATATCTATACAAGTCTCTTCTTATGTTTTTTTTTTAACAAAGAAAAGAAAAGTGTTTTAAACTGTATACCATCTAAGAGAACATGCACATGCGGCCCACATTTTGCAGCATTTATGATACAAACAGATCTTTTTCATATGGATGCTAAAAGTATTATCCCAAGCTCACACTCCTCTGCATGAAACATGGCAGCACGGCTATCCAACTGTTTCTCCAAACAGTAGCTGCTGCAATTTTTACAGGCTGCCTTTACTAGCTTAACTGAGGTTAGCTTCTAGCTAAGCCTGAAACGACTAACGGCGTACACACATCCACTGAGATTAAAAACATGTCGCTCTGTGTTTAGTAAGAGCTCCCGTTACATACCGTTCGTAATAAATGCGTAGCCAACAGCTTTGATTGCGTCTGTGTTGTCCTCCGCTTTCTTATCTTGGGTCCAAATAAAAACTGTCCCTGTTTAGTGTGACGTCTCGTGCAGGCGGAACGGACTTCCGCTTTATAAGACCTCCCTTCAAAATAAAAGCATAAACTTCAAATCTGGCTTTCTCCACACAAATCTATCGCTTAGAGCAGTGGTTCCCAAACTTTTTTTGCTGGGCCCCCCTTTGTTTTACAAGAAAAATGTTCGCCTCCCCCCCTTCCTAGCGCGTGCACGCGCCCACGCCCAAACACATCCTCCAACCACACACAGCCATATTTTGCTCCATTGCGGTTTATTTCACACCTCAAACATTTAGTAAACAATTAAGCAAATAGGAATAATCTGCAATAAATTACAGGGAGTAATAAAATAAACTACTAACTCTTTTACACTACGTCCGCACCTACACGGGTATTTTTGAAAACGCAACTGTTTCGTCCACACGTGAACGGCGTTCGAATCACCGAAAACTGAGATCTTTTAAAACTTTTTTTGTGTTTACGTGTGGACGAGGAATAGACTATGGCTGTATCCCAATTCGGGGTCTGCAGCCTTAAAGGACGCAGCCTCAACGATCCTCAAGGGCCGCGTACTCAAAGACCGCTAAGGCCGGAAGTGCAAGGCTTGTGAAATGGGACGGTCTAGCCTCCGTTGCGCTGATACTGTTGTTTGTCAATAAAGTAAAAAAAAAAAAAGGCTGCGTTGCGCTGCCCAGGTTGCCTAGCAACCATGATACTAACCACTGGAAACGTGTCATACAGCTTTGTTTGACAGAAATGAAGGAGAAAATCTTTTGTTCATTTGTTTGTTTGTTTCTACATGAGCTTTGATCATTCTCTGTAAGATTAAGCTCAGCTATTGAACGGCGTATATTTTAAAGTAAAGGCTTTGAAACAGAGGTGTGGACTCGAGTCACATGACTTGGACTCGAGTCAGACTCGAGTCATTAATTTTATGACTTTAGACTTGACTTGAAAAAATGTTCTAAGACTTGTGACTTGACTTGGACTTTTACACCAATGACTTGGGACTTGAATTGGACTTGAACCGGTTTACTTGAAAAGACTTGATATTTCACCCCAAATATAAAATTTAACATGCATATTATATAGAGATTGAAAATGTGACGTCATTCAGGGGTAAAACCGCAAAGGATTCTGGGAACTCGTGGCAAGAGGTACTAGCGAACGCAGGCTTTCAATTGAAATCAGTCACACAGCGATAAAAAGAAACACAAAAATGTCAAGAAGCTGTTGTATTATTAACTGCAATAGCCGGTCGCATGACAGCCACGGGAAGCCGACGGGTAAAGAGATCGTTTTTATTGGATTACGTCGTTGAAGAGAAATTGTTCGAGCCATGTTTCCGAAGTAACAAAGTGGCGACGGATGGCCTGGATCATTCAAAGACCAAATATAACGTCCCAGAACACTCCAGCTCACAGGTTAGTCTGCTCCAAGCATTTCCACAAAGGTCAGAGTTTTGTAGTAGTTAATACGTCATTTTCATAACATAATTAGTGATATAGGTTACAAGCAAGTCTGGCGCTGAACAGAAATGGTCGCGCTATGCTCCTTTATTTATTGTGCATAAATAGTGAATTGTCCTGACACAATATTGTGTTTCGTTTCTGTTATTACCATGGTACATTGACAAAAACATATACTTTTATTCACAGGATAAAACAGTTGTTTTGTATCACTAATTGTCCAGTGCGATTACAACATACAGTACTATTGTCACTGCTACATTTCTGTAACGCGTACCAGAAATTATTTCCACTACTAATTAATTACCCTTGAGCTCAAAGGTCCTATTAATAAACGGTTAACGAATGTGTATTTATGAAGACGATTTGTGAGACTGGTAAACTTATGATAGGTACGATGGTCTTTCGTTCTACACGGTGCATTTCAAGGTCCTGTACCCATCCGTCGGTAAACTGTACCTGGGCTTGTTGCAGTGACCGGAAGTTACTAAACTTCACGAGTGTATGCACTCACTCCAAGAACCGTATGATTATAAATATGAGCATGGTGAAAGTTGGGCAGCACGCTAACGTCTTTTGTCCACTCTGTGTGCTCATAAGGGTCTGACCCTTTCACTGGTTTGATTTTTTTCCTCGTATCTTTTCTTTGACTTTTCATCAAGTCTGTCTTTGTACGGACTGGCATTGTTCTCCTTCGTTTTGTACATACCTATTTGGGGGCGAAGAAAAAGTAAGAATTTATTGGAACCGAAGAATGAATGTTTTGCGGTGCTGCAAATGCTTGCATTTGATGCGGTACTTGGATTGTTTTGCCACGAGTTCCCAGCATGCAATGCGCGAAAGTCACGTGGTCTGTCAATCTCTATACCCTTCAGTCTTTTCACGTATCCCAGCCTGGTCTCCCACCTTGTCTAGGTCATGACCTCTTTGAAGGAGTTGTGTCATATGATCTAGCACTGTACCTGAAGAACATTATAAAAAATGGTTCACATACTCCCTTTTAACTCATTCACTGCCACTGACGTCTATAGCCGTCAATTGCAGTGAATGAGTCAATGGGTTTAACTCATTCACTGCCAATGGCTGGCAGTGAATGAGTTAAACAGACGCATTAAACAGTTTAAATATAAAGGATCCGAAGCACTTACAAAGCCATGTACTGTCAAACCTGACGGATCCAAATTATCAGGGCAAGCCGTTCAAAACTGGAACCTTTTGAGATTGCTGCCAGTTTTGATTGGTGACAAAGTACAAAACCATGAGGATGAAGTATGGCAGTTAGCTCTCCAGTTGAAAGATATTGTGGATCTTATTTGTGCTCAGAGCATTTCCTTGTCCCAGATAGCATTTGCTGACATTTTGATCCAAGAATATTTGGAGATGAGAAAGATGTTGTTTCCTGGAATTCAACTAAAACCCAAGCACCACTATTTGCGCCATTATTCAGCACTGTTGTTGAAATTTGGTCCATTGATGAGTGTGGAGCAGGGAAATTATTTTACTGCTATTGTTAAATAATTATTATCAGTACCATTGCATTGATAATATAATCTGCAGTATGATCATTGCTTTAACAATGTAACAGATAGCTTTAAGATGGCCTTAAGATGTTTATGATGATGTTAATTTTGTATTTCAGATGCAGTTATAACTATTTTATACATATTGCATATCTGTGCTTATTTGAGTTGATGTTCAGGTTCTTTAAAGGTCTTAAGCTTCACTGACGTGACTGTTCAGGTGATACATGCTGAGGGAAAACTAGAACATAGAAGGAATTGCAATACATGCTTACACAACAGTTCATTTTAATATCTTTTATATGTTCATATTCTTGTATTAAAGCTTTTAGTAGGGGTTCTTGATTAGAACATTTATTTAGCAGATGACATACACATAGTCTCAGTGAGCCTCTGGTCTGGTAAAAGGTCAGAAGTGCAACAGGTGAATTGAGAAAGAGCATTTGAGGACGAGACACAGACAGTTAGTAGGTGAAGAGGTGACACAGAGAGCATGTGAGGTCGTGACACACACACACACACATGAGTTAGATTTATTTAGAGGAGAGAGAGATTAGTCATGTCTCGGTAAAAGAGGAACCGTCCTTGTCTTCTCGGCAAGAAAGAGGAACTGAAAGGTTGACCGGAGGAATCGGCCATGAAAATAGAAGATGATCTTCTGGGTTAAAAGTCATTGTGGTGTTGATCTGATCTATGTATAAAATGTATCTGTGACGCATGAAGGGGCGTCAGTAAATCAAACCCTGATGCTATAAAATATCTGTTTATGCTTTGATTAAGTCGAAGATCACTTGCTGTCTGCGTACAGAGTTGTCTTCCCACACGTGTGTATTCATTAAAAATCATTGTTTGACCATGAGCTTCTGGACCAAGGGTGGTTTGTACTCTCCTTCCTCAATTTTGAACCTTAACATGAGGTTATGGACGCTTAGGTTTGAATGTAAACACAGTTACTTCAAAAGATGTGCCAGACACTTGAAAAGCTTCAAAAATATTTGTCAAACTTTGTCAACACGTCATCAGATGTATCAGGCTTATCTTTTAGCAGGGCAAGAATGCCGTGAACTGCTGCAAGTGAAGGAGAGCTGTGCGTTTTATCCCAACCTCTACAGTGACACTATTCAGCATGCGGTCAGGGAGTTAGCTTTTTCAGAAAGCAATACCACAGTTACCACAGACATTCAGTACAAGGGCACTGCATATAAAAAGGGACAGTTTCTTGTGTACAGAAATGACGAGTGTACGGAGTTTGGTGAACTTCTACTCATCTTGATTCAAAATGACACATCTGTGTATGTTCTAATGGATATCCACAAAGGCATCTTCCTCTCAGAATACCATCTGTATTCTGTGACAAAGGACAGTCTTGGGTTACAGTGTATCAACATTAATGAACTGCCTGATTTCTATCCTTTGGTATCATACATTCTTGAAGAATACCGAATCATTCCACTAAAGCATAGTATTGTGGCAAAATAATGTCCAACTAATAGCTCACTTCTCACTGTAAATAGTTTAACATTAATATAAGTGTCACGTAATCCACACCCTGCTCAAGTGTATGAACTGTATGTGATTTTCTATTTTGTTTGGAGGTGGCATTTCTTCTCCAGTGCAAGTATGAGTGACTCAGAGCGAACCTTCCTAGATGTCGCCATCACGGAAGTCCTACCAGAACTTCAAGCTGTGAACAAAAACATCCTGGAGGAGCACTTGCAGTCCATTGGAGTTGAGACAAGTGATGATCTACGCTTCGTAACGGAGGCAGATTTGATGACAGCATTAAGATCTGTACAAGCAAGAAAGCTTCTTTCTGCTTGGAAACAGAAATGTAAGTAAAAACAACAAACAACTATTCAAACTCAAAAGCAGAGATGGTCATGAACAGACATACAGTGTGAATCATAATTGTATTTGTTTTGTAATTGAAAGACCAAACTCCAGAGAACAGCTCGCTATCATCTGTGGAAGCCTCATCAACCCAGTCGCTGTCATTGCTCTCACTTTCACCCCAAAGTCTATCGTCGACCTCCTCCAGCAGC